ATGAGAATCCATCTCTCTGTATAGGAGGTGAGTTGCTACAAACTATAGCTGAGCCTGCCAGAGATTTTTCATCAGGGTTTTTTTTGCCAATATGCGCTTTGAATTTTCTGTCAAGATTGCAGACAGAAATCATGCTTATTTGCCAACACCCATAATTTTCTGAGGCAGATCTCCAAGATAAGCAGAGTTTTTGTCCAGCTTTTGTCCCCAGCTTTAGTCTTGTATGCAGTTTGCACTGCAATTCTCCCTATGTTGTTTTTTGTAAGGGTGCTTAAACTTGAAGGCTTTGGACTGGCATAGGTAGAACTGGTAGAATTGTTCGTTTGAAATACTAACTGCTTGAAATTTGAACCATGGATATGCTGGTGAGTATTCACAAATCATACCTTATTTTCTCCCAAGCTGCCAGAAAGATGTTTTTTTAAGTATTTTATTTGGGTTTTTTCCCCATGGTGCCAGTATTTTGTAAACAGCTTGCTTGACTTTTCTCCACTATGTGTATTGGCAGCACCACAGCCAGGTCACCTGGCATCGGTTGTGTCCCTTTGCTGTCTACTTGAAAAATTTGATATGTGAGGTTAGCACAAATAGTTTTTGTCTAAAAGGCACTGATGGTAAAACTGTTTTAAGGGTTCACAGGTGCACTTTCAAACAGGCAGAGCCCTCTAAAAGCCAGGGTACAGGAAATTATTTGGTTCTGTGAATGCAACTTGCCTTGTGTGGTAAATAAAATAGTCAAGGACTGGTTCCCTTTGACCAAGCAGATTGGGCAGCAGGCTCATTGGGAATAACTACCAGCATCAAACAAGAGCCTCAGTCCAGCTCATAGCTGTGCTGCTGTATGCAGTCTGTGTTGCAGGCAACTTACCTGGAGGACAAAGTGAAAGGGATTATTCATCATGCCAGCACTTCGAAGGAGAAGAATCTTATGGATGCAAATTACTTCACTTAAAGTCGCAGTGAAACCCCTCAGAGTGGCAGTGATCAGGCTCATCTGCTTCACAGCCCTGTTCCGTGGCAGATGCTGTGGTCTGCTGGACAGCTGGGGTAGCTCCCTAATTTCCATGGGGACAGTGGGATGGGGTGTGGAGAGAGGGGGAGAGATGACAGTAGGTCACCTTTGCACACATATCTGTTTACATTGCAGCCTTGATGCCATTAGAGGTGGGTCTGACATGGGTGATAACTCCTGCCTCTGCCAGCCAACTCCTGCTGTACAGACTGACCTGTACTGAGATGTAAAATGTGCCCAAGCATTGACGTGCATAAAAAGCAGCATGGGAGACAAGGGGGCCTTTAAGAGGTCACAGGTGTGGTTTTTTTTGGATCTGTCACCAAAACTTACATTATCAGGAGTGGTCCCAGACACACGACACAATGTGTGTGTCCATCCCCAGTCCTTGGGCTGCTTGCTAGTTGTATTAGACAGTTGTATTGCAGAGCACCATGGCAGCACCAGGGCCCTGGTGTCTGTCCAAAGCTGTCTCTGAGCACAGGTACACAGTTGTCTACAGCTGCTGACAAGACCCACTCCTCCTGTCTACATGGAGATAATAAGAACAGCAAGCACAAGTCTTTAGCAGCTTCCTCCCAGTTGCTGTGCCCCAGCAGAACAGTCCAACCCCACCTGTCTGGGCCAGTACAATTTGGTTTGTCCTGTGCTGTTGAGGAACTGTTTTTTGAAGGTGTAACTTTATTATAAATATTGTTATTTATTGTTTGCACTGTGAAGCTATGTGGAATGCTATATAAAGCCAGGAGAGAGGAAAAGCAGACCTTAGCTATACAATCTTTGTATTAATGAGTACAAACAGCCAAGACTCTTGATCACTGAAGTATCCTGGGACCTGAGAGATAGCAAAGTTTTTTTGCATCCTGACATTACTCACCTCCCTGCACCCCAGAAAAGATGATCAGTTCCCAACAAGGCTTTTATTCATGCCCGAGGTTACTCATGGTGAGTTTCCCAAGTGATGTGCAAACCATGGACTCAGGGCATTGAGTCAAGGTGTGACTCAAGAAGCTCTGGTTGGTTCAGTGGCTGCCTGGCTGCCTTGTGTAAAACCAAGGCATGGAGGGAGCTACAGTTGCTATACAGAAATAGGTGTGGCTTCTTCTTTCTTGTGCAAATCATCCTTGTGTGGGCCTGCACTATTCCAATCAGCTTCTTGGCTGATTCACGAGTTGTGTAATTTATGTGCCAATCAAGACAGAATTATCAGACTGATGTGCACCTTATTCATTTATCCACAGCTTCCTTTGAAGTTGAAGGTGACAAGTTATCATAACTTATCTGCTTCTAAACCATAAACATACCTTAAGCTTTTAGAGAATGACCACGACAATACTAGCTGGTTCAAACCTTTGTATTTGGATTACCCTTGCAGAGTAACAAGCGATTCAGATGTGCTGTAGCACAGCCCACCTCCAGGAGCAGTGAATGTGCATAGTAGAGTTCTGCCTCATCTTCTCAAGCTTTTCAGTGCTAGCATCAAGTGCCGTAAACTCTTGGAGCATCTTTCACAGGAAAATGGTGCTGTCTTCAACTGTTTTTTGATGTCTCTAACTGCCAGACTGAGACATCAATGGAAAGCTCAGTGTCTCTGCAGCTTCTTCTTGTGCTGGGAGCAGGAAAAGCAGCAAACTCTGCATCTGGTAGAACATTCCCAGTTACACTCAACAGGAGTGTCTCTACCTCAGTGACTTCTACAGCTTCTACAAGCAAAATTGAGCAGGACAGCTGGGGGGTGTCATGATGGTGATTGTTACTCCAAGAGGAGCTCACAGTTCCACCCCTGCTCTAACCACCAGTCCACACACCACCTTTAGTGCAGGAGTGGCAGCTGATGACCTGAAGCTGGGTCTGCTGCAATTCTTTGCACTCTGCCACTAGACACCTGACTTACATCAGATGACTCTGAGTATCTGAGACAATGACTGACTTCAGTAAAAGGTGAAGCAGCTCAGGACCTCTCTAAATTATGTCCTTGATGTTGACACTTGTCCTGCAGGGACCTGAGTGAACTAATCAATGTGTTTCAGCCCGCAGCACTCTCAACTCCTTCTTGTCTTATATTGTCCCCGTTAAATGTGAAGTCAGTTCTCAAGAGGCTCTCAAGATGTGATTTATTTTCAGTTTTCTTTTAAATCACCTTCATGTTATACCCTATGTCCACCTTCTTTAACTTTCCAGTTAGAAACTGGCAAAATGTCCCATGAAGAGATGCTCCTTGAGCACTTTCTTCTTAATAAACGTTAAACCAGGATCTTTGTCACAACATTGCAGGGATTAAAATACTGTAATTTTCTTATTTTATCAAAATTGTGATGGCTTCATTTTGTTTATACATAAAGTGGTAGACAGAGGTAAAGGAGGATCATAATTTCTCCAATCCTGAGAACTTTTTCTGAAGATGTGAGGTTTTGTGTCTTGCTCCAGTGAAATCTGTGCCACTCCAGTAAGTCTCTCATCTATCATACTGATAGATTTTCCAGAACTAGAATAGCCCAGTGCATTCAGTGCTGTCTTTCCTTGAATAATTTGTGTCTGAAGTACACACTGAATTGTGCTGAAAGTGAATGTAAAATAAGATGAATGAAGAGCAGGTTTTAGGTGCAGTTGATGATGAGAGGGACAGTTTTGTGTCATGTTCAAAGAGCATGAAGTTCAGAAAGCTAAAGCCACTTTTATAATTTTGTTCAAGGGTTAAAGCCAAGTGCAGTTTGACCAGGTCTCAGGCTGAATTCTATACCTCTCAATGACTTAATTACCACATGCAGCTTGTTCAGACAAATAAGTGTACTTTGATTAGTGTTCCAAAAACACAGTAATGGATGCTTCCTGCATACAGGGAAGAAATCATGCTGCATAAGTATCTGTCTGGCTAAAGGTGAATATAAATACAAGATGTGGGATTTAGGAGATTAATTGATCAGTTTTGAAGAGGTGCTGATCCCCAATGAGGGGCATAGCCTTTGCAGTGGAATGCAGTGCTGTAGAGCAGCCATGTGCCTACACACCTTTGGAAATTTCCAATATGGAACTTAAAAGAATAGGGCACCATCTTGGCAGTACAAGGCTACACCCCCTCAAAAGCTCTGGGCAAAAAATCCACATGAAGTGTTAAATTCTTTCCTATTCAACAGAAAAAATCTGTCAAAATCTGTGTAGGGTAAGAAAAGCCAAGGTGAACCCTGATTCTTACAAAGCACAGGGCACTGAATGACACTGTTATGTTCTGTAGGAGGAAATACCTTTTCACGAGATACAGTTAAGCTATAAAAATCTTTGCTGTAGGACACTGTAAAATGTGAAGATTCAAAAACTAATTGGACAAACTAATGGGAAACCATCTGTCAAAGAATGACTGCAGTGCTGTTGCTTTTTACTCTGTACACCAGTAAAATAATCTGCATGTGCTTGTCCTGTTCAGCTGGTGTTCTCAGTGCTGTTACTGTCAGCTGTGGTAAGAAAGCAGGTCTTGAGCTGGATGGAGCTTTGCTTTCACCCACCATGGCTGCCCTCCTGCTTCAGTTCCTGTGCAGGAAGAAGTTTGCAGGTAGTATGGAAGAAATTTTGTTTCTCACTTAACTTGGTGGATTTTTATTTATTAATATTGCTGTCTTCTGAATAGAGATAAATATCTGTGGGGTTGGCAAAACGCTTCAGATCACTGACTTGAGTTGTTTTCAGCCGGTTTGTAGTAGCTGGTAGCTCAGCCCATTGTACTTGCAAGCAGCAGAATATGCTTAACTTGCAGGCAGCTTTGTAGAGGCATCAGCAAGTGCTAAGTAATTTCCTGCAAAAAAAATTCCCAAACAGATCAGATCATATATCAGAAAGTACTGCTATGCATGTTCACATTCCCTGATATAAGCCTTTATACCTTTGTCTGGGATCTTAATAGTTAATCTACTTGAGCGAATAGGAAAGAGCATTTTGACTTTCAATAAAGTTTGATTCCTGGAGGCAGATCTTTTTTTTCAGCAAGTGTCAGATAATATGAAGGGTAGGGTGAGGCAGGAAACCACGACACGCCTTTGTTGGGACTTGTATAAGAGCACAGGAATAGAAAAGCAAAAGAAGGGCGAGAATAAAACAGGATAAATAAAGAAGAGGTGAACATTTTTGGATGATCGCTCGGGTTCCACACACCTTTGGAAGGACATGATATAAAGTGTAGGTGGCAAATTTTTGGTAGAAGGGAAGCAGTTAAGGAGAAAAAAAGATTTTCATTTCAGTAACCAAAGCAATCCAGGTAAGTTACATTACTGAAAAAAAGGCAGAAAAAGGTATCCTTTATTTTCTGTCTTCCAGATTCCTTGAAGAGCAAGGCTGAATTTTCTGTCAGGATAAAGGAGGTGTTACGTTTTTCTGTGTGAAATACAGTATAAAAACACAAGTTTGCTTAAGGGTTGGGTCATTTTGGGTTTCTATTTGTCAATGAATACTACTCTTTTGGATTGACTACCTAGTGAAAGGAGTTTACTTGCTGTGAGAAACTAAGTGTAAAACCAATGGGTACATTTTTTAATGTGTTTTTTGAAACTATCACAAAACAGATATAGTTTAGCTGAATTTCTCAGTTGCATAAAGGTACGGCATGGTGGAATACAGGTCATCTGTTAGCTGTTTTTAAAACTGAACTGATCTGGAATGTGTTGGAAGAGTAGTGATTGTAAATTGGAGCTTCAGATGGTGGGGCAGGGTATAATATTAAGGAATAAATCTCTAGTCCTGAGAATGCCTAGAACTGCTTCTGAGTGAAAGTTTGTGTTGCCAAGGACAAACCTGGCTTTGTCTCAAGGAAATAAGTTTGTTATCAGCAGTGACTCATTGATATGTATTTTGTGCTGTATTTTTGTCATAGAAGATTATGAGGTGTTTTGGTCATAGTAAGTCAGAAGACTGATTTGAGAATCAGTTTGAATCCTTTCTACGGCAAATCCAGCAATTTGACCATAGTGGCATAAAGTAAAAGATTTGCCTTTTTCTCTCTTTAGACTGACAAGTGACTTCAGGGAAGTTACTTTTCTGTGACTAGTTGCTTCATTTGTAAAATGGTGACAGCAGATCTTTCCCATTCTGCAAATACTTTTTTTATTAATACTAGATTCTTTGTGTCTTTTTCTGTGCCAGAGCCAAGAATTTTGTGCAGGTCAGAATGGCCTATTTCTTTTTGAGTGCCACAGTTAAGTAGAAAGCAAGGACATATTTTTGAGAGGAAGATGTCTGTCAGAACAGAGTGAAATCTGGGCAGTGCTGTTGATTGTGCTCTGAGATGTGAGCACATGTTAGTGTCAAAGAAGCCAGGATAGGCTATGGGCAGGGCAGAATTTGGTTTTCTACAGCTTTGGCTGGGCATCTAACCTGCTTCCCTGGCATTTGCATCATTTCATCCTATAAAATGAGCAGATTAGGAAGTATGATTTAGCTTATTCAGTTCTCACTGTGGCTTTGATAAACTGACTTGAAAGTAACAGCTTGTAGAGCAGAATGAGAAGATCAAATTCCTAGTGCGTAGGATCAAAAGAGATAAGGGACCATTTTTTTCCCAGTTCTTTTAGTTCCAGGCCAATGGCAGCTGAAAGACTTGGTTAAGAGGAAGGGACACCCTAAAAGACATGTGATATGATGGGAGGCATAGTCAGTGGTATCATTTGGATGCATCTGCTGAGTTTCAGAGTATTCATGATCAAAAGGTTCTGCTGACATTAAATATTATTAATCTCAGCACCTACAGGTGCTTCTTTCTCCTAATGAATTGTCTAACAGCAGGAACCTCTGGAGAGAGGAGAGAGCTGAAAGGATGTGCTGTGACTACAGCAGCATTTGAGATGAAAACTGGGAAAACATTGTGGAGGGATAAAAGTATCTGAAATGTGCTTACTTTTATTTTTCCACCAAATAGCCACCTTTGTGGCTATTCCACTCCCCTTTGAAAAATATCAGTAATAAACTGTATTACCATTGCATACAATACCTAGATTCTAAAATGATTAGAGGGAATTGAATGTCCCGTCTCAGAATGGCTTAGTGTCCTTGCCAGTGTGCTGCACTGCAGTGAAGTGGAACAGGGGGTACAAGAGATACCCTGCATTTTCAGGCTCTTGTGGAAATCACAGGTCTGAGCATGTCTTGCAGTGCAGGGGTGTTATTAGTATCCTGTTTTCAATGCTGTACTGAGAGGAAGCAGCCTGCACAAGTGTGGCAGTGCCACACCTTTCTTGGTTCCCAGTGCCAATAATGGCTGCAAATTCTCTGTTTCTGGGGGTGCCACAAGCACACTACAGCCCTTGAGCTTATGTAAAAGGGGCCATAGTGTTGCTGACTTACCTTCCTGAACTGAGTGATCCCACTTCACAAGTTGCTGCTTGTTGCTCTGAGATGACTGCAGAAGACTTCTCTGATTCAACTGTGTTGTTGCTGTGCCACAGACATAGCCCACAGCTATGCCTTTGTGACTCCAGATAGGAGCTGGGAGATGAGTCAGGCCCGGCAGGTAATGGAAATGCAGCACAGTCAGTTTGCTGGCATCCATGCGCCAAGCACACATGCAAAGGCACTGTGTGCTGGGGCTGGACTGTGGCATGCATGGCTCCAAAGATGGACTTTAACATGTTTTAATTTTTTTTTTCCTAATTGATATCACATCAAAATACTTCCCTTTCTCAAGGGAAGGCAAAGATGCAGAAGATACATTCACTCCATGATGGTGCTGGCCTCTTCCAGCATCCATAACCAGCACCGTCTCCCAATAACAGAGAGAAAGTGGAGTTCTGGGGCTACAAAGCAGTAGGGAAGCAATTTTCAAATATAAAACTGTGCTTCTTGCCAAAAACACTGATAAAGCCAACAGTGCTGACATCTAGATAACAGCTTCCAGCATATTTTTAGGGAGAGAGCTTGAAAGATGCTTCCACTGTTGATGCAGTAAGAAAGAGTTGCCGAGATAATGCCTTTCCTTGGAGTGAATGACCAGAAACCCTTCTATTGCAGAGGACTGTTACCCTGCTGGAGGAGAAGCTCTCCTAATGCATGTAGCTCAAGTCTTGCATATGTGTTGGAATCAACACCCTGGAAAATCCCTTGGAAATCCCTAATGTTAGCAAGCATTGTAAGGGTTGAGCAGCATCCTGCTGCCACCAGGTTGTGTAAAGACTTGGATGTGACCTCAGGAGCTCCATTTACAGGGCTGTTTAGACAAGCTCAGGGGCAGCAGTGCAGAGTGAGGGCTGTGGGCACTGTGGTGTTCTCTGCAAAGTGCATGAGTCTATCATGGGGGGCTAAAGTGGCTTGGCTGGCACTGTGCCTTCTCCACTCAAATTGTTCCTATCCAGATCTGGGAATGGCATTAAAGACAGAATTGAATCTGAATGTTGGATATTTCTGTAGATTCTCTGCTGCATCTTGCCTTGTGTCAGTATTTACGTCTGGGCAGTACAAGTGTAACATCAAGGGGGCTGCAGTTTACAGAAGAGTAAGAGGAATCATGGAGGTCAAACTCAAATTTAACAGAACTGGGGGACATGGTCTTGGGTTCTGCATCAAGCTGGGCTTTAAAACTTGGAATGAATTTTCTGCAAAGCTTTTCTTAGCCTCAGCATTTTAATGTGTTGGTTTTGGTACAGCTGGGCCTTTGGTTTTGAGGAGGAGACTTCAAATCCAGTGAAGAATTTTGGCCTATGGTGAGCTTGTGTGTAAATTAAAATCTCTTCCTTCTCATTGTCTGTAGCTGCACAAGATGAAATGTTATCTTAGCAAGACTAGGAGTGAGCAATTGTGTGGTTCCTTCTGACTGAACAACTTCTGACTGAACACTGAGAAGTGTTTTCTCTTCTAGCTGATGTCTCTTTTCCATAATCATGTTTTTTGTGGTATTCCTGCCTTGCCAGAGAGTAATACCTCTGGTAGAGATTATACTTTTGACTAGAGAGGGATCCAAGTAATGAAAAAGAGTGTACACAGCATTCACAGAAACATGTGTAGACTGACCTGAGCTGGCATTAAAGTAGATCAGATTCCAAAGCCACAGACAGGGTCTCCAAACTGTTGCTGCTCTGCTTGTAAAGCAAGATAAAGCACTTCCTACCTTAAGTTCTATGCTGCCAAAGATAGCTAGTTCAAAGGTACCTCCAGTGGCTTTAGCATGAGTGAGCCCTGAGAATGTACTATTACTATTAGCAGAGCAGCAGTATATCTGCTGAGGTTTTTCTGGCAGTGCTGGTGGGGTGCATGTAGCTTACTCCTGCAGCTTTGCCTGCATAGTTAATCCTGTGCTGTTGAGTCCTGCACAGAGCAGATGTGTGGGAGTGGTGTTTGGATCCACTGGTTTTCATCAAACCTTTATAGGGGCACAGCTGGAGACCATGATGTAGTGTAGTTTGGATATAAATTCAGGTCTAAACTCCACCACTGAGTGGATTTGCTTCAACTGCCTCTATCTCACCAGCTGGCTTTTCAGCCCCTCCTGGTGTTTCAGCTCTGCTGCCTTGTGCAGCATCCAGTGTTGTAGATGGCAGTCCATCAGTAGTATTCATATGGCTCTGGGTGGGCTCTGTAAACTCCCTGGCACGGACATCTTCCAGGCATTCTAGTCCTCATCCAAAGCAAAGTGGTGGGCGTGTTGGGAGCTCTTGTCATTTCTTACTCTTCACAGAGCTCTGAGTGCAGTCCCTCTGTTCTCCTTGCAGGTGGCAATGATATGGATTCTATAACAAAGAAAACGAGGCAAGATGGATCAGAAGTTACTGAAAGACGTAAGGCAGAGATTTTTAATTTTTATTGCACACTCCAAAAATCCCAGAAGTGAATGGCCATTTCTGTAAGGGAATAAATGCTGACCAGAGGCCCAGAACTAAATTCTGCTCCTGGCCCTGGTCTCTGTGTTGAAGTCAGAATAAGGAATAGAATGGGCCATGATCAGACATTTAGAGGTGGATATCATGATCTTATTGTTTAACCAGATGATTACCCTGTGGTAGCATTTCTAACCAGTAGTGCAGACATTGGGATCCTGCTCCTACCTCTGGTATCAATGCCCTGGGTAGCCTAGAAATTGTCTAGTGGCTTTGTGTAAGACAGGTTAATTTTCTACTGACCTTATGAGAATTAACTAGTAGGAAGTTGCTAAGGGATTTGACCATGGGCTTTGTTGTTACAGCAATGGCTGTGGTTCAGAAGTGCCCAGAAATTTTACAGGGATCTTGTACAGAAAAAAAAAAAAAAATCATGGCAGTAATGTTCTTATTCAGAGCTAGAAAAACCTGCAAAGAAACACAGCATTGTGTGATAATGAGCCTATAATTACAGCCTCAGGCAGTGTGGTCTTAAGGGACTTCTATTTAAATGAGTAAATCTTCTTTGAACTAGTCATGCTTTTGCATGGAGAATAGGTAAAACAGTGATCCAGTCTGACTGTATTAACATGCCATTAATTCTGCACCCTTTTCTTCCCTCAGTTATTACAGAGACTGTAACCACAAGACTGACATCCTTGCCACCCAGTAAGTAATTCTCAGTCATTGCATTTCTTCTGCTTGTTCTGTGCCTCTCCATGCTATTTATTTGGCTACATGATTTCCATTATGTCCATAAATCCCTGGGTGCAGCAGGTCTCAGTGCATAAAGATCTGTACCCAAAAGAAAGCAATTTTCAGAAATGCCTTTCTTTCTCCCAAAATACTTGTAACTGGAGAGGAGTAGTATCTGGGGATCTGTGTGGATATTGTCAGAAACAAAGCCACATACTCTACTAAGACTAGAAGACCAGACTCTACAAAGATTTAAGTCCAGATATAGGATCTCCATTGGTGATTGTCTGTTGGGAACAAGGATCAAAAGTGATGGGTCTACAGGTTCCAGTGCTGGGGTTGTGGAATAATACTGCAATGTATTATTTCCCTGTCATCTTACCCAGTTGGGAACAGTGAGTGAATCTTTTCAGTAATATCAGAGGTCACAGGTCTTTTCTACCTCTGCAGAGAAGTACAAGCTCCAAATAGGAAATAATCCTCCACACTCTTTATCTCACCATATCCTTGATTAGTTTTCTGCAGCTGAGTTGGCAAGGAATTGCATTATCATCTCATTTATGATAAGGACTAACAGGAGTATCCTTCAGTCCGTGTATGAAGCAAAACTTGATTACAAACCTGCTGGCTGTAGAGTGTGAATGCTTGCTGGCTCTGCCAAGACACTTCTCTGCACCTCTGATCTCTCACCAGATACGAAGCTGTACTTGTAATTGAGTGTGTGGACAACTTTGGGTCCCTCCTGCCTTCTCTTGCAGTGTCCTTGCTCTTCCTATCTCCTGCCTGGAGACAATGTCTCATTTTGTGCTTATCTCTTTCAGAAGGAGGAAGCAGCAGTGGGCTCAAAACATCATCCCACACTGGAGGGAGTGGAGTGGAAAAGCGGTCGTACAGCCATGGAAGCTATGTGACCTCAAGTAAGGAATTAAAGCATTGCCCCATGGGAAACAGAGAGCAAAGGGAGAAGAAATGGGCTGAGGAGAGATTCAAGGCAGGGAGGTAGGGTGAGCCAAGGGCAAGGAAAACAGGATTTATTATGAAAGTAGAAGTGGCAAATACATATACAGAGCAAAGATATTCCTTCCTTAAAGCTGGGTTTGAAAATGGATGAGTAAATGGCAAAAGTCCCGTTTTCCACAGGGAAAATTTAATTTCAGGAGAACAACAACAAAAAATGTCATTCCTACTGTTTTTAAGAAGTCATTCAGAAACTGAATTTCCCTGATTTCAGTTTTTCAAAATCACAGTCTTTCTGACTATTTTTGTTCTAAAGACAGTTTTGATTAATCTTTTTGTTGATCTTGCTGAGGGTAGAATATTATTAAAGAAATTCCTAGAAAATGTTTTCTTATGTTTGTGTGTCCATGGCTTTAGCAGTTTGAACATTTTGACAGATTTTCTGGACGTGCTAAAATCAGTGTGTGCTGCCTACTCCATAAAACCAGGATTTTTCTCTAACAGCATTCTTTGCCCAGCTGTTAGATTGTCATAGCAAAGGCTTCTAAAGACTAAGCTTCCTAGCCAGGTACCTGGCACACTTCTCTGTCCCCAGGGGGACTGACTGTATAACTCTCCTTCTGGAAAATGTTCTGTGTGCTGCAAGGGAGCTGACACACCAAAGGGAGTGAAGTGCACTTTGGAAGCTCAAGGGGAGAGTTAGCTATACCAAAGAGATCTGACGGGCACCTGCATGCCAGTTAAAGGCCAGTGTGGAATCACTTTGCCTCAGGGCACATGTGAAGTAACTCCGGTGCTCATGTTGGTCTTACTGTCTGGACTAGCACCAGTGTGAGAACTGAACCCAGACTCAGAGGACCATGCAGGATTACCATCTTCCTTTGATTTCTTTTCAGTATGTGGAAGAAGAGAAAGAACTTGAACTTCAGAGATACTGTATTCTTGCAGTTTCACAGAGCATTCTGTAGTCTTTCCCACTTTCTTACAGAATGCCTCTAACAGAGGCCTACTTTTCACAGTAGTTCTTTCTGCTGAATTTAATGGGAAAGTTACAAAATAAGAACAGAACAAAACAGGTCCTTTTAGAGTGGAAGGTGGCACAAAAACACTGTTGAGTCCAAAAGGACACACTTTTTGTAGGGATGGTTAAACAATATCCAGTTTGATCCTGCTGGTCAACATAGCTAGGTTGTAGTTTATCACAGAGCTCCCTTTTTGCTGCACCCTGATCATACTCTCCAGCATTAGATTTTGTGCAAGAGTATGAACACACTCATTATGGCCGCTCAGTTCCTCCTCCACAGCACTGATGTGAATTTGGAGGCAAATTGTTTCTTCTGTCTACATGTAACAGCTACTAATAACCTCCAGGCTGTCTTGGGCCTCATGCACATCCCAATCACTTCTCCAGAAAATGGACTAAGTGGGAGTGTGGATGGCTGCTTCATGGGAAAGTGGACTCATCTCTGCTTTCCATTATCTCATAAACTACATCCTTTAGCACTTTGAGTTTGGTTTAACAATCTCCTGGTTTTTGTAGCCTATGTCACATAACACTTGAGTTTACAAGTGAATCTATAGCCTAACCAAAAGTTAGCATCATCCAGAGCTAGATTTGTTCCTGCTCAAGGGAGATGGTTCACTATTACGCTAGGCCAGAACTTGGTTTCATACATATTATTGACAAGATTTGTTTTGAAACAACAACGATAACCCATACTTCTCTCAGCCATGAATGCTGAGGACCCTCAGATTTAGACCCTGATATTGTTCTTGTCCATCTCTAGTTGTGAAACACCAATGCAAATTTGTCCAGCTGAGAGGATGGTAACGTAAAGCGCTTAGGGCATCCAGAGTGTACTGCCAGGGTTGCTCTTCCATTGCTGAGGGCATTTTGTTTTATCTTTAGGTGGAAGTGGTAGATTGAATTCAACATCATCATCCTCCAGCTACAGACAAGCCCAGTCTCCCAGTTCTACTCTCACCAAATCACCTGGCTCAACATTTGAAAGAAAAACCTATGTCAACCGCCATGCAACATATGAAGGTATCACAGAACATGCCATGGAAGGGAGGCAATATGCAGTGCTCTCTGAGGTCACATTAGTGCAGAATTGTCCCCGATCCCATTGTGGTTTCCCTAGGAATTAAGCCATCAGGGACACAATTTAATCATTAAGTCTTATTTATCCTAAGCATAATGCTCATTCCTAAAAGGACTTGTAGCATATATTTGTTGAAAGACATTGGCAGCTCTTTCATGTGAAACTTGAATAGCTCTTTTTTTTAAATGGAAATGGTTGCTACCCACTGAGATTAAACAGTTGCCAGGGAGACATGTTTTGAAAGCTTTTAATGATCTTCTGCAAAGTATTAATGAACACCTTACTATTCTTTGCAGGGAGCTCCAGTGCCAACTCTTCTCCTGAGGTTCCCAGAAAAGATTTTGGTATGTCCTTTTTAGAGCTCTTCCTCTGAACATTATGGCAAGGTCATGTGAGTTGATGATCATAATGGCTTTTTGCACATTGCTGTGTCCTGCTCTACCTATGCTACCTCTGTATTGGGCCATCATGCAGTTATTTGGGACTTACATTAACAGCTGAAAGTCAGGTCTCTAGCTGATCATATTCAAACAGAGAGTGCATGCTGTATATCTGCTACTCTCAGCTGCTTTTGTGATGCTTCCTGTATGATATAGGACATGGACAGGAGAAGACAGACATGGGATACTTCATAGCATTCCCTTCACCCTTCCAGAATAGCTGGGAGAACAGCTGCAAACAAGAAAGTCCAGACTGTTAGGATTTTCAGTCATTGCTGGATATCCTTTTCCAGTAGCTCATTTTTAGACTTCATCAAATATATATATGGAAAAATGAAGTGGCTATCAAGTGATATATTGACAGTGAACATTGTCAGCAGATACTGGCTTGCCCCATCCAAACTCTGAGCTGTTGATTTTAGTCAGTGAAGATAGTGAAACATTATGATCAGGTCACCTTTTGGCTCATAGAGGAGGCAGGGTTTTGCAAGATCCAGCATTGGTCAGTGGGGTCAACCGGCCTCCTAACTTCCTTGTGGCCATTTGAAATGGGAATCACCATCTACAAACAGCATTTCTCTGTATAAAAAGAAACAATATCTGGTCCAGAAAGGGTAAAGGTGCTGCTGATTCTTTAAGATACCTTGTGGTCTAAAGAGGCCTTGTAAAAACTCTTAATTGTTCAATTCTTCCAGCAGTGCTCCAAGAAAAGTTACTGTCTAAATATAAGCACCCTGAGCGAGATCAGTGTGCTGATTTTCAGAGGTATCACAGGCAGTAAAGACTAATATGGCTTTTCTTTCATTGCTTTTCACAGCATCTGCCTCTACAAGAGGGAGAAGCCAAAGTCGAGGTGAGTGATGCTATTCTTTGAAAAGCCTCTTTTTTTTCAGTTCAGCATAATTCAGGTGTGTTAAATAGGCCTGTTTAGCTGGAATCCACCAGTTTATGTGTAGAGCAGTCAGATGAGGTACGTGGATCTGCACCACTTCAGATGTGAACCATGAATCTGTAAGCAGTTGTTTAAACAAGCTTGGTGTAAAAATTGACCTTAGGGAAGGTCATGGTAGTTCAGACTCTGTTGGGAAGGAAGATCTGCTTGGAAACCTGGCTGTCTGAGGGCACAGGACATAGTCTTCCATCTTGTCTGTTCACTATCATAACCTTAGTCTATCCATGCTCTGTGTCCAGCCTCTGACACATTTACAGTAATTGCATTCATGCTTCTCCTACGGTGATCTGTCTTGCAAACCATGAAGCCATACCCTGAAATAATCTCATGCTGGTAGTAAAGAGATGGTGAGGAAATTGCAGACTTACTGTGGTCTGTATAGCCAGCTCACTGTAAAGTTCTGCATTGTTTAAATCATTCAGCTCTTCTAATAATTTATTAACACTGTTGGGGAAAGAAGGATTATCTTGGTCTAAAATAATGTAGTATCTGTTTTGAGTTGCTTGAAGAGGAAACCGTAATGTCACTTTATTCAAGTTAATTTTAGAAGTGGGTATAAATCACACCATGGTCTTGCACAGTCCTTCTGGAGAGTGTCACATTCCCAATTATTCTGCTTCAGATCATCACAGTCTCCTCTAGCACACTACATACCTGAGCTCCCAGCAGAGCTAGGCCATGCATAATAAAGCAGACACCAGAGAATCAGGTCCAGCTTCTCATTTTACTTCAGAAAATAATTCCAATCCGTCATCTTCTCCACATGAAAGCCAAGATAGTATTTCTTTTCTAGTGCATGCACTGTCAGATTTCATTATGAGGAGCATGTATCACATATTCTGGCTGGCCACTTTGCTTGTGGGAAGCAAGTTTAAGGGCTTACCCCAGCCAAATCACATTAACTTTGTAGTTTCTTGTGCTGGACAGTAAAGGTCCAGTAAAACTAAGGTAATAGCATTGAGTACCTGGTGAGAATGTTGGCTGAAAACTGGACTGGTTACATTCAGTGAGCCAAAACAGAAGTCAGCACTTAGTAACTTCTGAATCATGAAGACTGAATCATACAGGCCATTGAAGATATGTCAGTTTTACCCAAGAAGTAGTAGGGAATTTGTGTATTTAGTAAACTTATTTTGGCTCTCTAATTTTTTTGTTCAGAAGGACAATAAAAATATTTGTGATGAGTGGAAATACCAGTGTGATTGAGGACTGCTGAATTTGACCTTGTGTATATCTGACAGTAGCAGCATTATTAACTTTAGCAGATGACATCAATGAGTGAAATATAATTCCCTGGAATTTAAAGTAACAAAATGTGACCCCAAAACAAAAAGTCATCCAAGCCCATTTGCAGTCGATTCACATGGGCCGTGAGTACTGCTCAGATTAAGAAGCAAGACAGCAAGGTGGAACATAGACAGCAAGGGGGAAGGAATTCACTTCAGCCTAAAGAGTCATTCCCAGCCAAGGGCACAAATTAATCTCTCTCCATATTCATGATCTGCTTTTTATCTTCCCAGAGAGTGAAATACGAGTCCGACTGCAGAGCGCATCTCCCTCTGGCAGATGTAAGTTATTCCAGGGGTATAAGGGATATGATAAAGGGTGTTGCTGCTAGGGTTATGTCTTTTCCTGTTAAGAACATTAATTTGAGTCCCTTTTCTGGACAGGGAAGCATGCTGTGGGTTAGGTGGTGCTCATGCAAAGATGTAAAATGTACTTAGTCCCAGAAACATCCTCTGGAACTTCGTCATTAAGTGGCACCCCCAGAAAGTAACAACTTCATAGACATGCAGATAAATTCCACTGAATGATTTAGATCCAGGGTAAGATTACAGATCAATGAAACATTGTCTTTTGGGTGACTCTAGTTGCTTGCTTTTCCTGCTAGGGACAGAGTTGGATGATGTGAAACGTTTGCTGAAAGGAAGTCGATCTACCAGCTGCAGTCCTACTCGGTCACCATCCAGTACACTCCCAATACCGAAAAAGGCTGTGGTGGAGACGAAGATGGTCACTGAGAGCTCTCAGTCAGGTACTTGGCCTTTAGCAATGTTACAGTCACTCCAAACAGCATTTGCCATAAAAAGTACTCAGTTGCTAAAAACATCCAGATAAGAATACATGGTTTCCCTATACAGAAAAAGGGTCAGAATGCTGAAAGAAAATCCGGGTGTTGTCGTAACAAGAGACATCTTGAGTATCTTTCTAGTGACTAGTCTAATTTAAAAAAAACAAAACTAGTCCTTGCCACCAGCTTTTATTCAGAGGTATTTCTAGCAGAGATAAGAGCTCTAAGCAAATGTGTCTGAGACTGATTTGATGTCTTATCTCCAAGTGAGATAGAGATAGGACTGAAGACAACATTTCAGTGAGTGATTTATTAGCCATACCATTTGATAATAACTCATCGGGAACTATATGACATGACAAGGAGGAATGACTTCAAACTGTAAGAGAACAAGCTGAGATCAGATGTTAGGAAGAAATTCTTTACTTTGAGAATGGTGAGACACTGGCACAGGTTGCCCAGAGAACTTGTGGATGCCCCATCCCTGGAAGTGTTCCAGGCCAGGATGGATGAGACTTTCAGCAACTTGGTCTAGTGGAAGGTGTCCCTGCATATGGCAGGAGGTTGGAGTTAGATGATCTTTGAGGTCCCTTTTATCCCAAACCATTCTGTGATTCTATAACTGAAGTGGTACTTAAAATACTACAACCTTTTTTAGTTATTTATACACTTCACAACAGGGCTTGAGGAAGTGGTATTGACATTGACTCCATTGTCTTCCACCAGTATCTAAGAACAATATCTTCTGTCTTACTCAGAGCTCTGATCCTGTCTAAAACAGAATTTTAGTCCAATACACTAGGGAACCTATCAGAGACATATATGGAAGCAAAAGCCATATATCCCATGGCCCAGGGTGATGTATTAATGGAATGGCAGACTGGGGTGGTTTATTCTGGTACCATAACATCTGTGAGCAATGAAATCTCTTCAAGGTGTTTTGTGAATGATCATGCTATCAGGTCAGTTTTTATTCCATTGGTTAAAATTTGTGTGGGCTGTAATCAGCTGACATTTGAGGCCAGTTATGCCATGCTAACCTGGAGTCATTGCATCAACTCTACAAGCGTAATTGAAATGTAAGTTGTTTGCCCTATAAACCTGCAGTGCATGCTAAGTCACAAACCTGGCCTCATTGAAAACCGCTTCTGTCTGCTTGGCTTTTTACAGTGTCGGGGACATATGACACAACCATACTGAATACTGCCCTCCCTTCATACATGTGGTCTTCCACTCTGCCTGCTGGGTCTTCCCTTGGTGGATACCATAACAGCTCTTCCTTGATCAATGCCATGTCTCACTCTACAGGATCAGGTATGCTCCCTGGATTGCCCAGGTTTGAAGGATGGACCTATCCTGAAATTGGGTCAAAAACTGGTTTTTTTTTGCACAGCACAAGCTAAAATGATGGAAGAATCAAAATGACAAAGGATATACTTGAATTTTATCTGGTTTTCTGTAATTTGGTGCCTTCTGCTTCTACACTGATTGTATCTGAAAATCCTTCTTTGTGAGGATTTATTGCCCTGACTCTCTGACTGTCACTAAATTTTGATGACATCTTTATCAATGAGGTCAAGCTCACATTCCCTATAAGAAATAATTTAGACTCAAATTAATATTTGATTATCTTACAATAAGATAAGAATGCTCAATATACTAAAGAATTGAATGGCTCATATACTAAAAATGTTGTAAGTAAGGATTTTGTGTTCTTACACCTGGTGAGGCCGATTTCTAAATGCCAGGGATTCTGCATTCCCCAGTTACAGAGAAAAAACACAAGAAGCTTTATGATGGCATACTACTAAAAGCTTTACTTTCTCTCACTGTCACATGATCTCATCTTGTCTGAGGTAGGATGTTTTGTTGTCACAATTTTCAAGATTTTTCCTCTGTGCAATTATTGTGCATTATCATTAGTTGCTTTCCAAGCTGACTCTAAATTTCTGTGACTGTGCCACTGACCTTTGGGTGTCAGATTTATGATTTGAGAGAAGTAATAACATTTCACTTCCTCTTTTTGCAGTTTTTGGTGTTCCAAATAACCTGGCCCCCAGCAATCATACTCTGAATGCAGGCCTGAGCTCTTCCTCTACAGGTCAGATTTTTCTTCCCTTCACACTTTGACACCACCACATTTCTGGCAGACAAGTACAGTGAAATAATACCTATATACTAGTTTCTCTCCTATTCCTCATCTGAGTGCCAGCAGCTCTTTTCCCCACCTGCAGAAATGTCCATGCAGCGAGAGTGGCCTCGCAGTGTAACTTAAGATAATGTTTTAAAATGGTCACCCTTATTGTTCTGGACCAGCAACGACAACACAGCAAAGTGAACTAAGTTACAAAATATTTTGTGAGGCCTGTGGTGCCTCCAGAAAGCTGGTGAAATTTGTTGGGAGAGGTCATAATTTTTACATCACTGGTTTTGCTTGGGTTTTAGCCAGAATGCCACCTGCACTGTAGGACTCCTATAACCCTCTTTGCAATGCTTTTCTTTGCAGTATTTGGAGTCCAAAACAACCTGTCTCCAAGCTCTTCTTCTGCAACCCAGAATGCTACAGCAGCCTCTACAGGTCAGCAACAAAGTAAGCCTAGAGAAAGTGTGAGCGTCACCAATGTGTGCTTCCTTCTCCCATCTTTTCTGTAGTGACTAGAAAGTTCATCTTGACAGAGGCCCCCTCAGCACCATCTTCTTCTGTGGCACAGTGTGGTATGAAGGGATATTGAGGAATATTTCCTCTGCTTTGCATGTGCAGGATCAGCTTCCAGTGCTGATGCACTAGAGATTTGCTTGCTGGGGAAACGCTTGGTTGTTTGAGTTGTCCTAGGAACACTGAATGAGAAAAGATTTTTTAAATGCTTTGGTGTGTGTAGATCCCCTGTTATCCTTCATCTCTGTCATTGTTGAATATCTTCTTTGCAGCATATGGGATAAAGAACACTTCTCAGAGCAACACCATGGCAAGTACTGGTGTGTCTGCTTCAGCAGGTGAGTGCGTCATTCACAGGTGTTTAGGCATGGCTTTGTACAGGTGTATCATAAAAATTAGTTTGAGATTCAGCATAGCTGAGTGACACTCAGGTGCATAACTTGTCACTAGCCAAGTCTCCTACCAGTACCTTTCTTGAAAGAAAGAGGTCAGAATCTAAGAATGAGCAAATGAACTGGTCTGATTCAGATCTCTGTAATAGTTTGGATTGTTTAATTCTGAGCTATTTCTGCTCAGCAGTCAGAAGGCTGGATAGAAGAGTGCACGTGTGAAACTGTACTTCATCTGAAGCCAAAACATTTGCAAGGTTGCTCCTAAAAATAATTTTTCAGTTGTACCAGCTTCAACTATTCAAAATTGAAGGAATTGACTTACACATGATCAGATTATGTACTTTTAATGAGAGAAGCCCTTTGTCCTTGAACAGTTAGGATTCATCTTTTCCAGCTCTTTTCTGCAACTCTAACAGTTATAAATAACAGGGTTTTTTTTAAGTTTTCCAGTTTACCTTGTAATCCAAGGACTCCCAAAAATGAGGCTTAAAAATAGATATAAAGACCACAGAAGTTATGATAACATTTCTCATAAAGGTTTACTCCAGGTTCTGCTAGAGTAATGGAATAATACCATTCTGTTTATTTTGATTTTCAGTATTGTGTCAGTGTGCAAATTCATGTTTGTACACCATTCCAGACATACTTCATAATGCCTAGTGGGATAAGAGTGACCACAGTGATGGTTTTGAACCTTGTTTGGCCTGTGCCAAACCTCAGTAATCTGAAGTTCAGTGTCTCCTAACCCTGCCTGACTCCCAGGATATGGAGTGCTTTGTGCTTGACAGAGTAACTTGGCAGTGCTTGATGGGCTCCTCAGCTTGAGCTGTGCTGGCTCTGCTGACCCCTGAATATCTCTCTCATACTGAGTTTCTCCGACTCCGCAGGAAATGTGTTTGAGGAGCAAAGAGCTCATTGAGCAAATCAATTCTACATATGATTGAATTCCAGATGTTCTCCATTTCTGGCAGCAGGGGCTCCCCTGCTAGTGAAATGCACATCTCCAAAGAGACCTAATGACATGCACAGCTCTCCTGTTACCTTTAGCAACCAGTATGTCTCTTAGAGGGCTCTTACTGTAGTGGCAACCCCAATCACAATGTGACCAACTGTTTTTATAAACAAAACTGATGTGGCTTGTAGTTATGGACTCAATGGCCCACACTTATATCCTCTTTACCATCTTTTACAAATATTCCAGGAGGAACTGTTTTGAGCTCCCAGGGAGATGATGTTCTGCGCAAAGACTGCAAGTTCCTGCTGCTGGAGAAGGAGAAGGCACCAGCAAAGGAGATGGAGCTCTTGGTCATGTCAAAGGACACTGGCAAAGTCTTTAATGCTTCTAACACTGGGCTTAATGGAGGTAATGTCCCTTTTTCAGGACGTGGTTATTCTGAGGGCAGAGAAATGAAGACTAATCATAAGGGAAGTTCAGCATTTAGGCCACTATACCTGGCTTGTACATCATATGAGAGAGAACCTCTGACAGGCAGACAGCTTTTAACCATGCCAGCTAAAACCTGAGTCTGGTTTTTGCATTTGAAGCTCCAGAGTATGTCTTGGGATATTTCACAAAGCTCAGGAGCTTTGAGAGAAACAAAACTAGATCTGGTTGAGACAGGCAGAGCTATTGTGTCTTCCCAAGAAAAATACGCCTTTTACCAATGAAAGAATTGATAGCCCTGGTTTAACTTCTGATGCAGTGTTTCTAATTATATTTGGTTCCTGTTCAGGATCTTTTGTAGAAGACACCTTGAAGAAAGAGAAGCAGGGATTTTCCTCCTCTTATGCTACAGATACTGGCCTAAAATCAGATGCAAATGGTAAGAATTTGTTCCTGCAGAAATGCAACAGAACTTTCTCCTTCTGCCTCCATTACTACCTTTCCCTTTCAAGCCCACACTCTAAATTATGTCATGAACAGAAAGAATGGTAAAACCTCTTTTACTGTTGTTATAACAGGAGGGCTGAAATCCATGCCAAAAAGGGACAAGGAAACTTATGCAGGTAAGTGATGCAACTCAGACTTTAATTGGAAGAAGCACCAAAGAACAATATACAAAAAAGCAATTGTTCTTGAGGGACATGAGTGATCTCTGAGCAGTGAATCGGAGGGAAAGAATGTTCATGAGGTTACCAGAGAAATTGGTACTGGTGATTTGACTGTAGATGAATGGACAGTTGGGGTATTTTTTTATGACTAGAGAAAATCAGATAGATGGCAGTCCAGCTGTATCCTGCTACTGGGACAGATTTATGGGGAAGAGATGGCGCGGACAGACTATGTTGGCTATTGCTGTCATTTATGTCTCAGGTCTGTACAAAAAATTTACCTCTAAGTGATCGTGTTTTCCAGCTGTTATTTTAAAATGCACTGAGCGTTTTTGTCCGCTGTTTGAATTCCCTTTGAATATACTGCTCCCAGCTTCCACAGGGACTAGAATTACACTCACCATGTGCACAGAGTGGCATAAAGATTTTTTTCCATAGCCTTTTGTATAATGGATCAGACCTTGATGTCCTTATTGTAAGAGATTCGTAACTCTGAAGTCAAGGAACTCTTCATTAACTGGGAGATTGTTCCTTCCGTCCTCCAGAAATACGAAGTGGTGATGCAGGAGGTGCAGTTGGATCAACACCATCCTGGTGTCCCTGTGGTTCCTGCTGTAGCTGGTGGAAATGGCTCCTGGGTTTGCTTCTAGCCTGGTTGTTTCTCCTTGGACTGCTTTTTGGACTCATTGCTCTGGGTAAGAAATAAATGGGGAAAAAAATGTTGAATGGTCGAGAAGGACAGAGAGTTTAAGCTGGGAACAAGCACCAGAGATACCAAGCCAGAGAACTGAGGAAAGCATTCAGCTTGATGTGGTGACTTGCCACTGAGATATTACAAATGGACAGAAAGAATGGATAATGAATACAATCTTTGTTGAGAAGTTATATAGTCTTGGGGTGAGTAGGATAGGAAAGCTCTTGAGATCTGAGGTCTACTGCTCTGAGACTGACAGATTCTAAAGTTGTCATTTAAATTCCAGATATCCCTGCTAGGGGAAAAAAAAAAAAAAGGATACAAAGAATTCTGCAAAACTCAGTGGCCATAGCTCTGTGACACAGTGTTGCCATGTTCCTGTGGTAGCAGGAGATATTTCAGGCATGTATATCTGGCAGCATGTTTCCTAGCATTTTCCTTTAACCCTCCAGCTGAAGAAGTGAGAAAGCTGAAATCTCGTGTGGAAGACCTGGAAAAAATTAATGGTGGTCTCCTGGCATTTAACCAAGGGAATTCAAAAATAGAAAAGGATGTTTCAAGAGTAGACTTTCTTCACGGTAACTCACTCTCCTCCACCTTCCCATATGAAAATGAAGAGTCAGTCTGGTTGATGGTGAAGAGCAGACTGAATAAGGAAATAGAACGAGGTGAGCAGAGTCATAAAACAGACCCATACCTAATTTCTCACGCTACTTTTGTTAGCAAGGGAAAGGTTATTTACTTCTGTTTAGCACATGATGAAAAGAGATTAACAACAGAGGAGCCAACATTCTCCCATCTTTAGAAATTTCATGTATTTGCAAAAACAGATTTACTGAGGAAACTCACAAAACCATACTATTCTGCTTGTAGCCTCAAATCCAAATAGATGAGTCCTTGTTCTTGAAATGAGTAACTACTCTATTGTATAGTGCACTCTAACAGCCCCTTCCTGTTACAGGCTACTTCCGAGGGGAGAGAGGAGAACGTGGTGAGAAAGGTACAGCCATATAGTCCTTTTCTTCCCCTGTCCAGTTCCTTGGCTCTGGCAATGCATAATTTTGGGGTGGTTGTTGCTTAAAGGGGAAATTTGCAGTGAGAAAGATGAAGGGGGTTTTTACTTGAACAAAAAGAATCAAAATTGTTTAGGTTGGAAAACACCTTGAAGATCATGGAGTCCAACCATAAATGTAACACTGCCATGTCCATCACTAAACCACCTCCCTAAGGGCCACATCTATGTGTCTTTTCAATAACTCCAGAGACAGTGACTTAACCTCTTTCCCTGGGCAGCCTGTTCTAATTCCTTGTAACCTTTTTGGTGCAGAAATTTTTCCCAATATCCAGTCTAAACCTTCCTGGTGCAGCTTGAGGCCATTTCTTCTTGTCCTATTGCTTGTTACTTGGGAGAAGTGGCTCACCCCCAGCTCGCTACCCTCCTTTTGGGCAGGTGTAGAGAGCAATAAGGTCCCCCCTTAGTCTTTGTTCCAGGCTAAACACCCCCAGCTCCCTCAGTCACTCCTCACAGGGCTTGTGTTCCAGACCCATCACCAGCTCTGTTGCCCTTCTCTGAACTCACTCCAGTACCTCAAGACCTTCTTGTAATGAGGGGCCAGAGCTGGACACAGTGCTCAAGGTGCAGCCTCACCAGTGCTGAGTTCAGGGGGACAATCACTGTCCTGCTTCTGCCAGTTTGTCATGTTAACTGTAGGGACCCTGATCCCACACAGAACAATACAGCAGGCCCAATCCTTCATTGTGCCAGTGTGAAAGGCCAAATTTGATCTGATCCTGTACTGTTCAAGTGTGAAGTGTCCTATTTGGCTGCAACTCCTTCATATTTCATTAAAGGTGGGAAAGCAACTAGAAGACAAAATGAATGAGTAATCATAGGATGTCTCTTGATTCAATTTTTTTTTTCCACTTTTCTCAGGTGACATGGGAATACAAGGTCCCAAAGGTGAGAAAACCTGCTTTCTCAGGTAGATTGGCAGCCTGTTGTAGGGCCTGGGCAGCAAGCGGTTTTTTGTTACTCCAGAATTTGGAGAAGCTGATGCTAGTTATCTGTTAGTACAGATATTGTTGTGAAGCGTGGGGCTTTTCTCTCATTTTCTGGTCAAAGAAAATTTTAGAGGTCATAGCATAGGAGGTGATAGATCTCACTTTGAATCTAGAAGCTCCTTTCTCCTGGATGAAAGTTACTCTTGAAGCCAGGCTCTACCTGGTTTAATCACAGGGTGCTTCAGTGCTCAGAGGGTTTTGCATGGTGTAAATGATTCAATTATTTGCATAAATACAAGGGTGACAATTGCTGGAGACACTAGAACTTGTAAATATTGTAAATATTCCAGGAACATAAACTTATTTTTATGAGGGTGAGGGTTATCCAAAGTGACAAAAAGAGAATACTTATTCCTCACTGACTCACTTTGTTTCTGTCTACAGGTGACCGAGGACTTCCTGGTGTCCAAGGTGGGCTATAGTTCAATTACTCTTTGACGAAGGACATTTGCTTACATTACTGTGGGCAAGAACAAATGTAGCACTTCCTTGCAAAATTCCTTGAGCTTAGCTCAAGGTGGCTCTCTAAAGAGTTAATATTTAGCATAGACTAAGTCGCTTGATTAATACCTTGGTGCTGAGCTACAGACACAGCTCAGACTTGGTCACAAGCAAAGCCTTGGCCAGACTTCCTTTTAGTTGAATATGTTGAATTTGGCATTGTAAAGATTCCATTGTACCACTGAAAGAGTCCTACAGCTGCATAAATACTTGGTTCAGCTTTCTTGTGCTTTTATATGTATTGTGTTCTTCTAAGGAGAAGTACCCACCTTATGAGTAATATATTAATTCTTTATCCCATAGAATTAATCTCTGCAGGTTTGAGGTTCCCCTAAGTTGCTTGTTATTCTTTTATATGGTACATAGTCAAGAGCTCTAAATGCTTACTGTGTTTTCTTTCCAGGCATTCCTGGTCCAATTGGGCATGCAGGACCAGAAGGACCAAAAGGACAGAAGGGAAGCATGGGTGAGCATCTGTCAGTGCTGTGAATCTTTCACAATTGGCTGACATGTGGCATGGGCATACAGACACCTGGCTGGTGTGATCATTGCCTTCTGCAGTGGAGCCGGGCATGGATCCTTTTGCCCAAGGCCTACCTCCCACAGACACCTGGTTGTACAAGGCATTTGTTTCCTGTAGGTGAGCCTGGCATGGAAGGTCCCATGGGACAAAGAGGTAGAGAAGGAATACCAGGGCCTCGAGGGGAGCCAGGACCACCTGGATTTGGAGCAAAAGGAGACAGAGGTAAGAGCCAAGTCTCTTGTTGTCATATAAAACAGAGATGGATAAAAGCAAGAGTTTGGTCCTGATTAATAAAACACCTCCATGATAAAGTTTGATTTCACTATTCAAGTCCAGATTTCATATCTAGACATTTCTCAGCCCAGATTAGTGTGGCATAAAGGATTTTTTTTTTGCCAGACTTAAAATGAGTAAACAAGGATTGCTTTGGTTTCCCAGATCTTACAGTCAAGTTTGAGTCTGACAGAACCAAAAGCACTTTACTGTCAAGGTTATCTTCTTCCGTTTTATCCAGATCATCAAAGCTGGGGTATTCATCTTGCTAAAGCCCAGTGAAAAAGCCTCATATTCTTTTCTTGGACAATGCATATCTATATGTGTGTCTTGAACTGATGAGCAGATTATTATGACACTTGCCAGAGAAGGAATAACTGTGGATGGGATAATGGAAAGATGAGATAATGGGAAAATGGGATCACAGCTGTATTCTACCCTGTCTATTCATGCTCTTATTTTGCAGGTCCTGTTGGTGAGCCAGGTCCGCCAGGGCCACCTGGACCCCCAGGTTCTGCTGGCCTAAAAGGTAAATGTGAAGATGGAGAGAGAGCACCTGGCAGAGAGGTTAGGAGTAAATGAGCACCCCAGCTGTCCTGTTTCACTTGTGTTGCTCTTCAGTAATCAGAAAAGTGAACTAATGGTCTGAAGCACAGATCCCAGCATTTCAACTGAGATAGACAACTTGGGTCTCTTCACTTAAGTGGAAAACATTTTCTCAATGTCACAAGAACTAAGTTCTCTAAATTTGTTGTCCTGGCTTTGAGTCTGCCAGTAATGCAATTTCTTCTAGTGACTGGGGAAATTCCAATCCACTGAACACTTGCTGGGTTGTGGATGCTGTTGGGCAAACTGAAAGCAATTTTTTAATTTTCTAATTGTAGTGTTACTAAAAGAAAATCCATGTTCCTTACAGGTCTCATGGGTTCTCCAGGCCCACAAGGCCCTCCAGGTGAGTGCTGCATTCCTTTGCTGTGGCATCTAGAGACTGAGCAGAACAAAAAGAGAGTGACAGCTTCTCATAGTGTTTCTGCTTCAGTGATGCATTGTGATGAGTGGAATGAATGAAAACCACCCCCCATCTCATTTTTCTGCAGGTCCTCCTGGCCTACAAGGATTTAGAGGTGAAGCAGGACTTCCAGGTGCTAAAGGTAATTTCCTCTTCCCCCTGGCAATTAAAGCAGCACTAGCTGAGGTGCTTTTCTAGCACTGCTCTGAGCAGCAGGCTTGGTCTGACCATGTCATATATTGATTCTATGAGCAAAGAAAAGCATAAGACTGAAGAAAAGGAAGGCAAACAAAACTTAGTCAGTGATTGCTAGAAAGCATTGAGAAATGCAGGAGACATAGATGTAAGTCTAAGAGAGGAAAAACAGTTGGGTGGATGGAGCTGTGTTAAAGGAAAAGAATTTCCAGTTTGAGTTTGTCTGGTAACACAGAATCCATATTTCCATTATGATTTTTCTTGATGCATTAAATGCCTTTCCCCATCCATATTCCTTATTATTCCCCTATCCTTATTCCTTATGTTCAATCATCTATATATGTTTCAGGCGAAAAAGGAGCCAGTGGACCCCCTGGACCCAAAGGTATGTTGACCACTTAGGTATCTTTTGTGGTTATTTTCTTTAGATTTCTTTAGGTATGGATACTGTCTATAGGGTTTACACTTATCCATCTTTGGCTTTTTCTTCAGTGCTGTTGTCAGAGAACAGACTTTATTTTTTCTGATGGAAACATTTTACAATGAAGCAATGTCACAGAATGCCTCCCTTTTTTGTACCACAGGTGATCAGGGTGAGAAGGGTTCTCGTGGAATGACAGGTCAGTAGATTAAAGTACTGGAGTAACATCCAACCTAATGAAAGTATAGCCCAGCCAATCCCAGTTAGCTTTCTGAAGCATTATAATGATGTTACTGCTTATAGGAGTTTTATTTTTGAATCAAAATTATAAACAAATAGATCCCATTCTTGATTCCAGTAATTTTGGTAACAATCTTTGTGTTTAGCTTTAGGAAAATCCTCTCCCACATGCCCTGTATTCATGTCACTTGAGCATTTCTAATGCCTGGAGACAGCTGTGAATCATGAGGCCTGAACATCCTGTCAATGGTGTTTTTCTGTTGCAAAGCAGCAAATATTGCTGACAGAATTGTCCAAGAGTTGTTTGATTCATTTTCATACTATTTTGCTACAGGTGAACAAGGCTCAAGAGGAATACCTGGACCTCCAGGAGAGCCAGGGGCTAAAGGACCTGTGGGTGGGTACCAGAAAGCAGCTGTATTTCTATGTGAGACAATGTCACTGCGTCCCAGATTGTGTTTCTGTGAGCACAGACAAAGAAACAAATATGGGAGTGGAATCATGCTTGTTGTTACCCTAGGTCTTTCCTTTAGACACCTGTGATTAGTCTGTACACTCAGACTAAATTCCCTACAGTTGAGTTTTGAATGAATGTTTCCTGGATCTTCAATAGCTGCACCCAAGGTTTCTTTCAGATGCAATGTGATGAAAAGCCATTCTTAGGTTTAGGGCTGTGCTCCACTTTGGAGGAAGACAGGATAACTGTGGTACTGACAAATCAGTATTCAGATATCCCTGACAATCTCTTTCTTTGGACAGGACAAGCTGGTCGTGATGGACAGCCAGGTGAAAAAGGTAAGGGCTTCCTTTGAGGCAGAAGTGCAGGTACTTTCTGATTTGGCAGGAGGTTGATTTGTAAAAGGGGTGGGAGAACGATGGCAGCAGTTCTGTCTCAGAACTGTAGAGTCAACCTGTAGACATGGAACTGAGACATAAATTGGAGCAGGCTATAAACTTGTGACAGCGTTACCTCTCTACAGAACTCTTTTGTCACTGATATTCTCCTCCCAGACACTGATGCTGGAGGTGGCCACTTGGCTGTGAGAATACAATAGGTAGAAAGTGCTGCAAGACAGCCAAGCTTGAATGGATTGGTAGATTGTGTCAGTGACTTCTGTCTTGTTAATGGTGATTATATCCCTAGGTGAACCAGGCCTTATGGGAATGCCAGGTGCCAGAGGCCCTCCAGGACCCACTGGAGATGCTGGAGAGCCAGGTAAAAGCATATAGAGAACCAAAATGCTTTTGCTCAGTCTGGAACACAGATATATTTGTCAATTTCCAGTCTTAATTTGAATTTAGGTCTGCAGAGAATCTCTGTATTCTTAAGGTGATGATGAAAGGAAAATACACAGAGAATCTAGACCCTTTATGATCCCAAAACTGCCCACTGTGTAAACATCAGCTGCTGTGAGCTGATTTACATACCAGTTGCTAAGTTGGTTTCCACCACTTGTGAATTGTGTGCTATAATTTCACATAAATGTAATATTTTTCTCCCTGTCTGTCCTTTTCCTCCATGAAATTTTTCAGATATCTTAAGAGTTTTCATCTTTTTCTAACAGGTCTTACAGGACTCCAAGGACCACCAGGTAGGCTTTTCTACCATACTCCAATTTACCAATGATACACTTTGATATGGGCTCAAAAAACCCTTGTAGTTTTCCCTCTGTGGTGGTCAGGACTTCCAAAGGGATATCCCAAGGTTTCTGCATCTCCTTGGCTTTTGAGACAGGTTTTGTGCAAGATATGTAATTTTTGAGCAATGAAGGGCTTTTGAGTGTTTAAATTTTGGCCTAACATAACATAACATAACATTTACAAAATGTAACATTTCAGTTCCCTGTTCATCACTGAAAGTCCTTCTAATCAGCAGCAGAAACAGAAGAGAGTCTGTAGCAATAGAGATGGAACAGAGGATGTGACATCTGTGAGCAGAGGTGGTTGGGGGGGACAGCCCATCAGTTCATCAGGGAATTCATTCAGGAGCCTCAGGACAGGTACCCATATCTAGCAGAAGCTACAGGTAAGTCTATGAAGCAGTGTCATCATCCAGGGAGCAGTGGGACCAGTGAAGCTCAGGGGCACTACTAGCTCAGTCTGTTCCTCCTCTTGCTTATAAAGTCCTCAGGGACCTGCTTATAGAGGCTGAAAGCTGGGGTCTTGAGTAGGGAGCACCTTCTGCAAACCCACAAGTGAAACGTCTGGGGTACCTGAAAAACATACAGCAAACAATATTTGCACTTACCATTTTAAATTTTTTGTCTACATCACATCAGGGCTTCCAGGCAACCCCGGCCGACCAGGAGCTAAAGGTGAGTTTTGCTTCTTCCCTGATGCTAATTTTCTCTCTAAAGATACCATTTTAGCAAGGATTAAGCTGCTCCACTGACCAGTCCCTGGATCAACAGTGGCATCTAGTGGCTTTGGGAAGGGAAGTTTTGAGAAGCACGGTAGCCAAAGCTTCCCTGAGTGTACACAGAGGGCAATGAGGGCATCTGCTGAGGGGCTTGGCATGACAGCTCTTCTCTGAGCAAACCTTTGAAGCCCAGTTCTGCCCTGAGCAAGATGCCTGGTGAGTGCAGTGGAAGCTGTGTGCCTGCTTCGGATAAATCCAGGCTGTTGCCTATGCTGGCAGATGTAGTGCTTAGAAAGCTGATCAGAGGGCATCTCTGGATTAGCACAGCTCTCTTGTTTCTCCCCTGACCTTCTAGTGCTGTGACTTCTCAGACAAGAGATCAAGGGAAGAAAGAACAGAAACTACATGCTTAATAGTACAATGTTATTGAGCTTATTATAGCTCTTACCTGCCCCCCTAAAAAGAAGCTCAACTTCTGTACCTTTGTTTTCCTAGGAGAACCTGGAGCTCCAGGAAAAGTCATAAGTGCAGGTATGTAATGCTGTGAGGAGTCACACTTCTGATTCAGGAGGATTTTCACTCGGTTTTTTTGTGGCTCCTCAATTCAGACCTGTACTGGGGCTTCCTGTGTTGGGGGACTATATATGCCATATATATGCCTTAGATGTGGGATTCCTTAAGCATAGATTTGTACACATTCACTGGATGCGTGACTATAAGTGTCTGCATGCAAATCTGTGTGTTTGTTTTTTAGAGGGTTCATCAACTATTAGTCTGCCAGGCCCACCAGGTCCCCCAGGCCCACCTGGCCCCACTGGTCCCCCAGGTGTTCCAGGTGAGTACTGATGACTACAAAGTAGTGATAGGTCAAATCCAGGGACTAGAATCAAGCTCTTTCACTGCTCAGGAAGGCAGGCTTGTGTCTAATCCCTTTCCCACCACTGTTGCTGAAATTAGGAAGTGCTTGTTTTCCTAATCAGCTTTGAGCTCAAGGCAGCAGAACTCAAACTTCCGTAAATCTTTCTCACACACACATACACTGGCTGTGCATGAGCTCAGACTTTTCTGTTCCAGTCGGACACTGCCCTCCAGCATGCTGGTGTCAGGCAGCAGAGTTCCTGAGCCCTGATTCTTCTTCAGATACTTCTGTGCCTGGAGCTAGTCCTGGAGCTGGTTTGGCAGAGTCAGTCTCAGTTTGCAGTATGGAATGTGAAAGGAGGGTTAGGCCTTTTGCATTCCTCTTCTGTTGTGGTCAGTGGCATTCTGGTTATTTCCCCAGTGCAAGAGGCATCAAGCATTTTAATTGCCAGGAAATGGAAATTCAAGTAATCGTGGGGCATTGGTGAATTCATACCCCATAGCAATTCCATTTAGTTGTGTAGAAATTTTTTTATAGTCTCAGTTCTTACAAAAGTCCTATTCTTTTCTGCTATTGTAAAACACAACCAATAAAATCTAATGAAATCTGTGGTTTTTTTTCCTTTGAAACTAGGTCCTGTTGGACCAGCTGGTCTTCCTGGACAGCAAGGTACCATTTTCCTTCAGCTTTGATTATGCTTCTTAAGAGAAAGGACTTCATTAGTTTTACTTTGTTTCTAATTCTCTAAGCCCTTGGCACATTCCCTCTCCCTTTTGTTTGCAGATTTCTTCCTTTCAGTTAATTTTGTTGCATTATTTGGCTTAATTAATCTTGTAAAGAATTTTTATAATTTTTTGTTTTCCCTGGGGAAGAAGGAGGGTGGTAAGAGGGTGATATGAGACAGTGCAATGTGGATGCTGCAAATGTCTATTTATTCATATGCTATTTTTCCTGAAGGCCGGTATTTCTAAGACACTTCTCAAGTGCAGTTGCCTTTCTGTGATAGAAGGATATAGCCCAGCTGGATACCTCCTGCCATTTTGAAAGGCAGGAGACCAAACTAGAGCCAAATTTGGATTAATGTCACTGTGAAAGCACTGCCAGACATCTCTTTGGGCCTGAACAGAGCTGAGCCCTAAGAACTTTTCTTAGCTGGTTTTCTATGATCCTGTTAGAGCAAACTGGGCAGTAATTTCCACACTTGAATGCAGTGTCCCTCAGATCTGAGGTCTGAGTTCATGCTCCTTGTTCTCACAAGAAAAGTCTTAACCTCTTAAGTAAGTACAAAATGTCTCCCTCTCTCTGTTGCTTTTATTTTTCCTGGAAAAGGTCCACGGGGTGAGAAAGGATCTCCAGGTGAAGCTGTGGTAGAAACCATCAGAACAGAAGTCTCATCATTAGCATCTCAAAGTAAGTGGCCTTTCCACTCCTTTCATTGGAGATGTATCAGAGCCTCAAGGCCTGCTCACAGCTACCAGGAGATTCTCAATGTGGCATGAGACAAGTGTGTGTGTGTTTGGTGGTGTATCTGCAATGCCAGCTACCTCTTCTGCCCTCCTCATGCGTGCATCCCAAAGTCCCTTCAAAAAGAGGCAGATGCCATCAGGCCCACATCACAGAGAGGGAAGCTGAGGAATGGTGGCTGGTGAGCAGCCGCTAACAGGGGAGATACAGAGCTGAGAGCTTTCAGCCACTGAGTTCACACAGGGCAGTTCCCTGTGCAATATGAACATGGAACCATCTGTAAGAAGAGAACCAGTTTGAAAAAGCATTTCTAAGCAACAGAAATAATCTCTCTTCAAATTAAAGGATGAATTCACAGAGGAGCAAATAAATTTTAAGATAAAAAAAAATACATTTTGTAAAAATTTTTAAATTTTAAGATGAAAATAAGTGGAGCAGAACAGAATGGTTTAGCAAGATCCCAGGAAAAGCATTTGCTCTGTGCAACACTAGATGTTGTTGAGAGTTGGTATTCCTAGGATCTGGGACCTCTGCAAGTTTGCAGCAAGGTAGAAGAAGGCATAAAATGAAAAATGATCCTTGTCTGATCACCATCCAAATGGGGTCATGTAGGTTCAGACCATACTTCAGTACTGTCCAATTCCCCATTCAGGAGTCTTGGATCACAGCATCAATGAATTTATAAGTTCATGCCTCAGCTTGGAGGTAGGAGTATATCATACAGTACAATCAAGAAAACACATTGCAGCTACTTGTTGAATAACTTCTGTGTTATGTTCTCCTCCAAAAACTTGCCTCTTTTAAAAAATATTTCTTCTCCTTGAAGTTCTTTCCCTCCTTCTTTTGCCATTTGTGTCATTTTCTTTCTCTCAACAACCATTACTCTCCTCCCTGTTTCCAATATCCTGCTCAGTGCTGTTTTGTTCTTCCTGTCCTAACCAAACACATCTCTCCTCTCCCTCATCTGCTTCATCTTGGGCTTAGGTCATCCAGGCCCCACATTAGTCCACCTTTGATTGTAAGAGCCTCTAGCAGCAATATATTTTCCGCAGCAGCAATAGCTCCATAGCAACAATTTCCCCTTGTTTGTGTTTCTCTTTTGCACAGTGCTAGGAGATTTACAAGGGCGAGCAGGACCACCAGGTCCCCCTGGACCACCAGGTATGTAAAATACAGAGCTCAGTACCTGAGCAAGGAATGCTCACAGAGCATGACACATTTCTGGGCCATGCAGTTTGCTGAGTAAATGTTCCCTAATATCCCTGCTTCTTTTCTCATCAGGTGAATCTGTACAGGGACCCCCTGGACCTCGTGGTCCCCCAGGTAAGAGCTTGTTCCTCTGAAACCAAAATGGAAAGTGTGAGGCTTTTTCCAAGGCCTAGGGCTGGAAGCAGAATGTCATATAGTGGGTTCCTATCAACAAAATTTCAGTGCAGCAAGATGCTGCCCAACAAAGAACACTTGCTTTGGCAGAGAGTTCTAGCCACAAGTATTATTTGGTAAAAGCCATACTTCTAGGGAAGACACAAAAAGTTTTCAGTTTGCCAAAGGAAATAACTGCAATCAGTTCCATATTTATTTCTTGTAAAGAATTTAAGGCTTGTCCAGCCTTAACTTTCAACTGCAGACAAATGGGGAGGCTCTTATCATGAGGAACATATCCCCATGCCCCATCCTGTAACACAGATTTCCCTTTCTCAGCCAGAACAGGGAAGATGTTGGGGGGACATGTGACAGGAGCAGAAACCCATTCCTTGCTCTTTGTAGGAAAAGAGAACAGGTTTGGTGTGTGATGGGATAGGCACCCAGTACCGCAAAGAAAGGAGTTTCTTTGGTGGAAAATGATAGTAAAGAGTAACTATCAGGGATAGATGTGTGAAGAAAACAGTTATAAGAACCTACACTGGGAAAGACTCAAGCTAAAGCTGTGGCTGGAGATGTAGCAGCTCTAGCATTTACTTATATTGCTGAAGCTGATCCTTCCTGAAGCCTTTCTGTGTCCCTTTTGCCTAGGAGAAGGATTGCCAGGACCTCCAGGCCCACCGGGGAGACCGGGATCATCCATGTCCACCTCAGGTAGGTTCTTGCCACTCATTCCATCATCTGGTCCTGGGGATGTCCTGTTGGGGTTCCAGAGAGCATATATATGGCTAGGACCAAGTGGAGCCAGAGAAACCTTGTTTCATGTTCTGTTGGATGTCATGAAGAAATCTCTTTGTTTGAATTGCAGAAGCATTCTTCACAGGCCCACCAGGTCCACCAGGACCACCAGGCCCGAAGGGAGACCAAGGTGGGTATATTGTGTGGTCTCACCAGGGTGCTAGAGGGATCTCAGCACCTTAGACTGAAAAGAAGGAGGGGCTTAGGAGCAGAAATTCCTGCCTTTGTCTGTAAGAAAGCTAGCACAGTGGTCACTGAGTAGGACTCCTGTCTGCTGTAAAACAAGTCAGTCTTTGTCAAAGAAATTTATTAGCCTCCAGTACTAGTGTCAAGGCAATCACTGTACTCAGATCCCAACTCTGCAAGCTCATTATACTCAAGAGCATTCAGAACTTCAGATTTGCTGTTGAAGGGGACAGCCTTTTTGCAAAATGCACTGTGGACTAAGTCAGTGCAAGGAGGTGGCCCTGTGAAGTGTAGCTCAGCTCTCAGCTGTCAAGAAAAGGTGGACCTGATCCCTTTTCCCATTTCATCCCTACAAATTGAAGGCCAAGGTGATATGCTGCAGAGTGTGCTGGGATGTTGATGATGAGCATAAAGGAAATCCTGACTTTGTTCCTTTGCTCCCCTCTTCACAGGCGAACGAGGTCCACGGGGATTCACAGGTAAGGATATATTAGTGAGTTTCAGGGTAGCTTGCCTGGGTGTATGACTGCTCCTTCATTTCTGTGTCTCGTGCAGGAGAACCGGGTGATCCTGGTCTTTCAACATTCTCCTCCCACGGTTAGTTTGTGCCCCCTTTCCTCCTTTGAATTCATTGTCCCTGGGCTGAAATTGGGCCAAAATCCTGCTCTATTCATTCAAACTTAATTTTAGTTGAGCCAGGATTTTGTCCACATACTTTATTCCTCTGAATCTCTGACTCTCTTTCTCCAACTGGCAGGTGAAAGAGTCACCATACAGGGACCCCCAGGCCCACCTGGCCCACCTGGACCAAAAGGTGAAACAAAAAATCTTTCTTTTTTTGGGGGTGGCCTCACACAACCAAGCACAGTTGAGACTAAAGGATGGAACAACCTAACCTGGTCCTTTGGGGACTAGAGGTGTGCTCACGCCTACCTTTTCAGGCAAAGCAGGACCACAGCAGTAGAATGGCTGTGAGCACAAGGCACTTGATGAGTTAACAGAAGGCTCAGGAAAGCTGCCATAGCCTCTTCTTTATGCTCTTTCCCAACAAGCTGGCATTTCAAGGCAGTCGTTTCAAGGGCTGGGTAGTTACTTCTCTGACAGCATGTAGCTCAGCCCTTTCACATGACCAAGTATGCAACATGCAGTCACATCCATTACAAGCATCGTTTCCCTCACTCTTTTCCAGGTGATGCAGGTGTCCCAGGTGCACCTGGCATCCCGGGAGCATCTCGAGGTAAGGGGCCAGACCATCATTGCTCTCGTATTAAGAAGGAATGCTGATATCCTGGTGGAGGTTTTGAAAAAATGCCTTTGAATTCTACCAGTGTGGGCACCAACCTAGTGCTGATGGGATTTGTGTTCAAAACCTCTTTTTGCATGATTTGCCTTAAATTAGAAAATTTAAAATTTGACAGCTTTCTTTTTCCAGCTTACTGGAAATCCTTTAAGCTGGAATTTTGCCTCTGTATGGACAGGTCCTTGAACTGGTGCTGCCCAGGCTCACTGGGATGGGGAGCAGCAGGGCAGTGATGTTAGACTAATGAGCTTGTGGTTACAATCTCCATCCATATTCTGCACAGCACTGCACTCTAGTGCACAAACCCACCAGGTTTTTTTTGCCTGTACAAAGCCAGGACTGTCTCTGGACTCAGCCCTGCACAGGCTGAATTATGAGATCCTGAATTAATATTGAAGACATTGTACTGCCAGTAGATGCTCAGACTGCATCTAAAGATGCAGGGGGAGCCCCTCCATATTCAATTTTTTAAACATCTTTCCAGGCTTGTGGGAAGGGCTTAATGCAAATACACTTTATTAACACTTGGTCTAATGCAACTGTGCCAAAAACACTCCTTCTCCTAAAAATGCCTTCTGTAGGTGGATCCAGACAAATTCAGGGACCCCCAGGACCTCCTGGGCCACCTGGTCCTCCTGGCCCAAGTGGAGGTTCATCTCAAGATATTCAGCAGTATGTCACTGACTACCTGAAGAGTGAGTATAATGAGATTTTTTGCTGTGGGGCAGCAATTTCATACCTATCTCTCTTTTGCTCCCAGGGGCCTTATCCCTCTTCTTTTAGAAACAACAGCCCTGCTACTCTGGGCTTATTTCTCCTGAATACTGTGGAGTGCTGTTGTCCACTGTGGCCTCTGTAGAACTGTCCTTCTGTTGTCCTGTTCTTTGTCAGAGGGAAGAGGGTCTGGGAATTGTGCTTATGGTCAGTCTTCTGTCTTAGTGATTTGGGCACATCTTGGACTTTCTACGTAGGTGACAACGTCAGACATTATTTGACTGGTGCCCAAGGCCCACCAGGCCCTCCAGGCCCACCCGGACTTATCACCACTGCGGATGGGGTGACCTTGGATTATGCAGAGCTGGCTACCCGTGTCATGAGCTATATGACAAGTAAGCACTATTTTGGTAAACTCGGTACTGAGTCATGCCCTCAGCTGAGCTTGTGCAGCACCTAGGAGGTAAGAACCAGAGGAGAAACAAGTCTTTAAATAGCAGCACCCCAACCAGGTTATTCATCTTCAGCAGTCTAGGCCCAGGACTCCACATAGCTGAGGTGTCCTCTGAGACTTGTCCTTTTTAATGGTTAGATTAACTTGCAGTTGTGCTGTTTAAAAAGTCTCATATTAAACATTTGCTGTTAGATTCTTTGACACCCCAAAGACCCAAACAGAGGTGATTTTATTAAGTATATGTGGTCTCAAGTATTTGGGGATTGCCTTGTTTGCTTGGGCCTCTCTTAAAGTAGATGAAATTCCCAGAGCTTTTGGAAGAAGCCTGGAATCTCAACCAAAAATGCACAGAGCACGAAGTGTGATGACCAGGATGTGTGAGATCACAGCTGTGTCATAGCTTGGGGCATGAGAAGCCCATTCTACCAGTAAATTACTTCATCTTTCTTTTGTTCCTTCCTGACCCCTCCTCACCTTCTGTCTCATACTGGCTCATGTAAAACCTTTTCATTCCCACAGGCTCTTCAGGTCGCTATGAGTCATTTTCTAGCTCAGTATCCAGTACATCCACTTTGTATCAAGAACTTCTGGGCCTGCTGCAAAGTAAGTGACCTTCAAGGGAAACACAGGATTGAGGTTAAAGCATCCCATCATCCTGGAGATCTACCTTTCCCTTTCAGTCTCCAGTCTGCAACTGGAGTTACCTGCAGCTGTTTCAGAGTGTTCTACTTTCCAGCTCCCCCATTCTCAGTGTTCCCCCCATAGCCTTGCTGTGTTGTTGTTCTCAAGTTGAGTGGGATCCCCAACTCTGTATTCTTTTCTGTACACGCTGTTACTGTGAGTAAATGTCACTATACTGACAGGTGAATCTCCAGGATGTCATTTGGCTGTCCCTGAATGTATTGATGATGCTGGCCAGCACTGTGCTGCACGTGGCTCCAAAGTGCCACACAGCTCAGCATGGTCTTTGCCAGCTGAACTGCTTTTCATTCCCTTTACCCAAGAAGTTGTCCAGGATGCCCTGAAAAAAAAAGACCACAGGGAGGTCCCTTAAGCAATCCAACTTCTCATCCTCCTCACACCCTTATTGTAGGAAGTTCCCAGCCTTGTTGCAGATGTCTGGCACTGTATACAAGACAATTCACTCAGAAAAGAGGGAGGGAAGGAACTTTGCATCCATAGGTTTTGATGGTTTCCTTGGTGTTGGGAGCTCTACTCACAGGCTGGGAACTCCTCCCACTTGGTGTCTGTGCAGCGGCTGGACAGCCTTAAAAGATGCTTTTTTTCATTTCTAGGAGAAGAAATTCGTCAGTACCTCATTGGACCCCAGGGCCCACCGGGACCTCCTGGGCCAGGGGGAGATGGAATGTCTCTGTCACTGGATTATGATGACCTGACCAGGAGGTTTATCAACTACTTGTCAAGTAATGGTTTTATTAGTGTTTCCCTCTGTTCCTTTGGGAGCCCAGCACAAAGCTCATGCTGTCAGACAGTTGAAACTATTCTAGTGCTAATTGTGTGAATCCCTATGTACAGAGACCTCCTCGCAGGGACTGTGGGAAACTTGTATGAGAGCAAAAATACCCTGTAGCTAAGATACTATCCACAGACTAGTAATGAATCCTTTCTTTGTTAAAAATTGAGCTTAGGAACAAAATTTCATCTTAGCCATCTTAGAAGTCCCATCAACATCTATAAGTGCCTTTCTAATGTTTATCTCTGTGGTCAGGATATAGTTCCCTGTGAAAGAGTTGGTCTGTTCCCACTTTGTGTCAAGGCAGCTCAGGCAACAAACTCTTAGAAGTTAGTTGAAACAAATTCTATGTCTCTGCTTCATTTTCCCATCTGTAAAGGGGTGATATGGCATATAAGAACTGTTTGACAGAGAGGACCCTTTGAGCATCCCCAGCAGCAGTGCTAAAATGCCTAATCCTGGTAGCTGCAACTGTCTGCTTAAAAACACAGCTTGGTTTAAGCTCAGTTTCTCTGAACTGCTCTTTGAGACCAGATCTCACTAGTGGACTGCTCTTAAGATGGAGGGAATTTCCAGCAGAACTGCAGTGTAATGGCAGCACTCCAATGGCTCAGGCAGGACAGCTGCATTTTGGCAGCAGGGATGTTTCATTAACACAAATCACAAAGTGCAGTGTTGCCCCAGAGCTGCAGACACAGGGAGAGCAGCACATGTATCAAGTGTGGGCTGCAACTGAGCTGCAAGTCCAGGGGTGCCCCCACCATGTTGTGGATTTATGAGGTCCAGAGCTTTTGCCAGGAATAGAAGCCTGCTGCCTGCCTGTCTGTGGGTATCCTTGGCATTGTCAAGGCAAAGTCACAAGTCCAGAACAAGGTTTGAACTCTGGCTCCTGACACAGCCTGCTGGTGGGAACACTCCACTCTGCAGGAGCCCGTCCTACACTGCCTGTAACTAGCTAGACCTGCTGCCTGTCTGCCCACACTGTAACAGCCTGTGCTAATAATGTGGATCTGTTTGATTTTGCAGATTCTGGGATGAGCATTGGACTGCCTGGACCACCTGGGCCTCCAGGGTCACCTGGTATATCTTACAGTGACCTGACAGCGTACCTGCGAAGTAAGCCAACTTCTTCACTCCCCTGCCATGGGGCTCTACATCCCCCCAGGATATTTTTTACAGCCTTAGTCACATAATTTCCCTTTTTGCCTATCATCGCAAAATAACCCTCTGATGGTGCTTTGTCCTCAGCAGCACTGCAGGCCTCTGCTGGCACCTGCATACCCCACAGGGGCTGCAGCTGGATCACCATGCTCCTGTGAGGAGCAACAGCAGTGAGACTGTCTTGAATATGGGCATGAAGGAGCCCTTTGTCGTATCCAAACTTGGCAGCATAAAGGCATCGTTTCTTATACCTCTTTAAAAGTATATTTTTAAAATAGGGACTTTACTCTCTTTGGAATCACCTGACTGTCCAATGTGACATCTACGTGCAGGAAGTGATGTACACCAAGAAAGCTGCACCAGAAAGTATTGGAGAGAAAAAAATTATTCAACTTAACTGTATTCTGTATTGTCATAAGTTGTGTTGTCAAGGAACGTTCATTAGGGTTGTTTGGGTGGGTGACTTCATTTTCTTCCTTTCTGTCTTACAGACTCTGAATTCAGTGGTGTTGTTGGGCCCCCTGGTCCTGCAGGTCCCCCAGGACCACCAGGGATCCCTGGATCACCAGGCACCTCTCTGGAGGACATTTCTGCCTACCTTCAAAGTAAAGCACTTGGGTTTCTCACAGCTGCCAGGGTGATTTGGTTTGTAATGCTGGGGGGACTGAGGCTGGGATTTAGCTTAGCAGGGATGTGACTGGCAATGGGAACAAAGTCACTGTAAAGAAAACAATTTTGTCAATGTTGTCTGTAAAGGGATGGAAGTTGGGGTTGGAGCCTTTAAACTTTCAGGATCTCTGAATCTGTGAAATTTCCTTATCCTCTCACTGATGGCAAATAATTCTTTCTCTCTCTCAAGATGTTGGATACTCTTCCCTTTCTGGAGTCCGGGGCCCACCTGGCCCTCCTGGCCCTCCAGGACCACCAGGTTTCTCTGGAACCGGCCTCCTGTCCTATGCTGATATCACCAACAGCGACGAATTCAGGAGCGAGCTGATCCAGTACCTGAAGAGTAAGGGAACACCATCCATCCTTCCTGCACACATCCCAAGACATGCTTTACCTTGTGTAGGTGACTGGCTCTGCCACAGTTGAGAGATTCCTGTAGGAGCTGAGCTGAGATTCCTGTAGGAGCCTTCCCTGAACTGGGGCTACAGCAACACCTTCCCTCTACAGCCAGGTCTACAGGAGTGTGCTGCACCCTTTTTTCTCTTCTCAACCCAGCTGCCAGCCAAAGTCTGTGTTGTGAGACCACAGGGACAAGCACTGGGTAGTTAGAATTGGCCTGTGCTGAACATGGGTCCAAGTAAGGTCACCAGCAGAGTTTTACCATGGGGAAAGCATTTTATTTGGCAAACACCTGCCCACAGAGCCATGGCTAATGGAGGGATTGGAAGGCAGCACTGAGCTTAATGTGAGGCACCAGTGGTCTGAGCTCATCTTGGCAAGTCATTCAGGGCAGGCTTTCAAAAACACCTCAGTTTTGGCAAACTGGTCACAGAACGGCTTTTTTGCCAGAGGTGCTGAAATTTGCCTGAGGAGTGCACCCTTCTGAAAAATCATTGGGTGTGATCCCAAGATTGGGCACTCAAAATTGTGGGAGAGATGGGAAGGAGAAGGATGTCTTGCCATCTGTAGAGTTCAAGGTTGATATGTGCCTGCTGCCTGAGAAATGGCATGGGATGAGGGTCACTGTGATGGTTGGTGGGACAGAACTTCACACTCCAGTCTTCATTCAGGTGGTAGCACAGGACCTCTGTCAAGCCCAGTGTCCCTGAAGTTTCCCCTCTTGTATTTTGCAGGTGATGAAATTCGAAGCTACATCTCAGGACCCCCTGGCCCCCCTGGGCCACGGGGACCACCAGGACCCAAAGGAGACAGCGGCTTTGTGTCTGAGTCTATGTCTTCATCGTACCAAGGGTTACGAGCTTCTGAGCACTTGCATGGAGGATCCCTTGGTGCTGAGGACTCCCACGGGGGCTCACTGGGCACAGGCAGTTCCAGAAGCAGCATGTCCTCTTACCATGCCTTAGTGGGCAGCAATGGTGCTTACGATGCCTCCATGGGCATTGATGGGCTGCTGACAGAGGAAGAATCACACAGGAGATCAGCAGGGTCAAGCAGATCCTACAGCAACTCCTTTACCGGTTCCCTGGATTACAACGAGCTGGCACTCCGCGTGTCAGAGAGCCTGCAGAGTGAGTGCAATGCCTCACTCAATGCTCAGCCTGACTCTCCCTATCTCAGCCTACAACTCCAAACCCCCTGTGCCTGGTCATGCTGTCCACCTCCCTCTCCTTCCTGCTGCCTACATGTCTCCCTTACACCTTCTGCCTCAGCATGCAGCTGCAGTTCTCCCAGAGCTCCTTTCAAATGACGCCTTTAATTCCGCAGGCCGAGGTATTCTCCAGGACCTGATGTCTTACACTGCACAGGGCCCTGCAGGTCCCCCAGGCCCTCCTGGTCCCCCTGGCATCAGCAAGGTCTTTGCAGCCTATGGCAATGTCACCGCAGACCTCATGGACTTCTTTAGAAGTGAGTTACGTTTTGTCTTGGCATTTCTGGCTCATACATATTAGATCCTCTAACCTTTGCACACTGCAAAAGTCAAGGTGTGGAGTTGAAGGTGGATGGTCTTTCCATCTCCTTCCTTCCTTGCTGGGGAGGTGCAGTCTTATCATTAGGAAGGACATCAGTTTTTCCCACTATTTGTAGGAAACTCATCCCAAACACTGAAGGCCTCCGTGCTTACAAGTTCTGTAGCCCATTTTAACATGGCTGGGCTGGCACTTGTGCAGAAACCTGAGCCAACTGCTCTCAGATTCCCCACCCTGAGCATGGGCCAGCTCCAGCCCTAGTGACAGCCAGGACACCCAGAGAGAGTGACAGAGCAGTGCTGGTGAAATGACATCACAGCCTGTCTTTGGGATTTTTTTGGGACCTAAATCCTGTTTAGAAACCTTGCTGTCAGTCTAATCCCATCTAACCAACAGCAATGTTCTTCCACTGTGACTCAGCTTCTCTGAGTGGGCAGTGGTTCATTCACTCTCTCTTTCATTTCCCTCTCCAGCACATGGTGCCATCCAGGGGCCACCCGGTGAAAAGGGGGAGAGGGGTTATCGAGGACCCAAAGGTAAGGCTTGCCATCCTTTCCCTCTTCAGCCTTGTGATGCCCAGGAAGCAGCACTGAGACCACAGAGGTCACAGCACTGCTCAAGGTCACATCCTCTCACAATGAAGGTGACACCTTCAGGATCTCAGCCAAAACATTGTCCTGACTTGGTGTCCCTTCCCCTGGCCTGTCTCTGTCTGTGGGTCACTTGTGCTCAAGGGCAAACTTGGTCTTTTCTCATTCCTTCAGGTGACCCTGGGCCGATGGGCCCACCAGGACGACAAGGGCACAGGGGACCAAAAGGAGAGAAGGGAGAGAAAGGTAGGAACACATACTATCCCCAGGAGAGCAGGGTTTGACTATCAGGGAGAGGCACCAGCCCATCCCTGGGAATAGCTGGAAAGCACAGCCTGTTTTTTGGTTTGGATCTTTTGTCTTTTTACATGGTCTTTTCAATTAACCCTCCTTTTGATTTTTCTGGTCCCCAGGTGAACAACTGTATGTTGGCAGAAGAAAAAGAAGTGTTGGTGTTTAAGGGAAAGAGGTAGCTCAGTTCTGCACAGGGCAACACTCCCAGCAGCCTGTAGAGAATTAGCCTGAGTCTTCACTGCCTTAATGCTGAAACATCCTCACTGCTCATCTGACCCCTTAGAGTTGATAGTTCAGATCTGAATGTCTCTTGTGTGTGTCCAGCATGGCCCTAGTGTGGGTGTTTGCTTCTGTTACTGATGTTTGGCTTTGTGTCCCTGAGCTCCCAGGCTGATGTCCTTGGGCTGACAAAGGCTGCCTGTCTCACATAGTCCAGGCTTCTTGTACTACTACCACCTATGTAAAAACCTGTTATTTTTTTAACTAGACAACTCTGCAGAAAAAGGAAAACAAACAATCCCATCCCCACTAAATGCATGGTTTGTCAGGGATCAGATGCAGCCCACAAAGCTGTGTGAGAAACCCTGGCCTTGCATTGCCCTGGGATTCCCTCTCCACAAGCTCTGCTAATCCTAAGTGGAGCCCATTTATAGCAGCTCAGCAAGACAGGACACACACAGGGGCTGAACCAAAGCACTTTTAAATGTAATTTGTTTATCTTTTAAAAATATTTTTGTATTGTTTTCTGTTTTTTAAACACTGGTGAAAAATAATCTTTAAGTAAACATCCCAATTACAGTGTATTTTTAACCCCATCCCTGAACTATTCAACATGGCCATTCTGTGCTTGCAGGTTGTTGTGGGGCAGGGTGAGGCACCTGAGATGGGTATGAGGTACAATGGTAAACACAGTGGCACAACATTAAATACTTTTGTTTTCAGTTATTTTAAACATTGTAAATAATCCCCTTTACTCAAATGCTTGTACAAATCCCCCTGTATTTCATGCAAATTTTCTATCAACAAAACTGAGGCGATCTCAGCAAACTGTGATTTTATTGTATTTACAGCAGAATTATTACAATATTCTACAGAAAGCCATGAAATCAAATTACTTTGAAAAACAAGACAAAAAAAAACCCCAAAACTGTTGTATGACTGCTACTGCAAGTTCACTTCCATGAGCTGTACAGAGACCCTTAGCCAATTATTCATCCATCTCATGATTTTTGGTTGCTTTCTGTAAGGCAAAAATAACTTGGTTTGCAGTTAACACAAAACATTCAACAAACTGCTGGGAGAACACGAGGCCGGCAGTGCCTCAGGCGCGTGTTTGGTCACAGGATGCTCCTGCTCTTGTGAAGCCTGCTTGGCTTCCTGACAGAAAATGGGGTGACAGTTCAATATTAGATGCCACTAAATGTCCCTTCCTAGTTTCTGTTCTTTCCACCATTTTAGGACTGATTCTCATTACCAAAGAGGCTTTACCACCTAAATGCAAATGTGGAAGACTTTGTTAAATCACACCCTGGACTCACCCACTCCCTTCTGCTTTCAGTACAGGGAAAGCACATGAGCCCTTTCTTGTGGGTTGGGCTTGAGCATGTTTGTGCTTAAGGGGTTTTCCTCTGGCACCACCGATTGCCCAAACACCAGATGTGCAAATGAGCTACAGAAAAAACAGCACAGGGACTGAGCTGGAAAAAAGGGATGCAGAACCAGTAAAAGTTCTGTAAAGAAACACGGTAATTTCCTTTGTCTTCACCTTCCCTTTACCTGTTCTCATCTTTCTCAAGACTGAGAAATGATGGGGCATCCTAGCCTTGGCTTGCCTGTGAACGAGGAAGGTTAATTCTCTCTAATCTTACTTCAACTGCTGTGAAGATGGTAGAAGTAGTCTGGGAATGGGAAATTTGCATGGACACATCAATGCAAGGAAGTTTCAGAAATCCAGAAGTACAGATTTTGATGTAAAATGACCAGAGTGTAAATGCTAACATAACTTACTGACACAGTGATGGTCCTAAACACTCCCCCCTGCCCTGCCCTTTTCTCCAACAACAAGTCACTGTCCTCAAACTTGCCCCTCTTCACTGCAGCAGATAATCCAAGAAGCAGTAGATCAGTGGAAGCAACTAGCACTGAGTTCATTTGTACATTTCAGTTTTCAGCAAAAACGTATTTCTGAGGTCCTGGGAGCTGCAGCTGCACAACCGCTCTGAAAATCAGGCTGCCCAAAAGTGGACTTAAGTGCCTGGAGTTAAAGACCTTGAATCTTTCCTATACCAAAGCAAGCTTGAAGTACTTGCAAGGCAGATACTCTTTCAGCTGGAGAATCAACTTCCTATGTGATACTGCTGTCACAAAAGACATGGTGTGGCAAAAGCAATTTCATTGCTGTTTTGCTTAGGTCTTAGTTAAGGTGCTATATTTCCAATTTTTAAGGAAAAGAATTCAGTAGAATGGAATTATCATAAAGTCCTCTGGGATAGAAGAATAATTTCTTTAACTGTGTGATTCATTAGATATTGAATACACATAAATGCAATTTTAAGATTATTAGCTTAAAAGAGTACCTGGAAAAAAGGATGCAACTCAGACTGAACATCAGTTTTTAATGTGATGTGAAAAATCCCTCCGAGTGAATGCTGATGTCTGGACAGTGCCCCCCTGACACAAGGGAATTTGAATTCAGGTGCCAATTCAAATAAAGGTTTTCCTTCAAGATTGATCTACATAATCAATCATTCAGTATCATATCTTTACGTGCTGTATATGGTTCTTGTGTATACACCAGAGACAGCAAAGTACTTGAAGAAGGAAAATTTGTTTTATGGGAATCAGAGGGGATCAAATGCTGGAGTATTTCTTCATTAAATAAACAGCAAAGTTCCCCTGGAACTTCAGAAGATCGAGGGCTGCCACAGCCCATTTTCTCCTGAGTTGGTAGCCCCTCTTCAGCCAGCATCTCCTATAAACAGGGGCAGCAGGTGCACCCAAAGACCTTTAGCCCCAGATCTCCCTGGATGCCATAAGCAGTGCCAAAATGCACTTTCAGAGCTCAGCACATGGTGTGAGGCTGAGGCCCTGCAGGCAGGTTTTTTCTGTGAGGATCAGCTGTAAACACAGGAGGACAACCCACACACAGCACTGCAATTCAGGGATTTATTGCCTTTGCTCATTTTCCTGTGGACAGAATTTAAAGTGTAGTGAAACACAGTGGTGAGCAAATACTGATTTGTGGCCAGCTTTGGAAGAGCATGTGGGGACAATAAGATCTGCCAAACAGTAAGAATTTGTAAGTACATTGTTTTGGCTGCAGAAGACACACCTCACCACCCTGGAGATGGAGCTGCTAACATTCATTAGGGAGGTGACATAAGATAGTAGCGAGATTGCATTTCACATCTCAGGAGACGTCTTTTAAGCCTATGTGAGACTAAATTAATTTGAACTGAATTTTCTGACACTGATACAATATTGTAACAGCTCTCTGACATTCTGTAACACTTAAACCAAATTTTATCAGTATAGATGTGTAAGTACCCACACCAGTTCTTGTTATCACTCAGAAAATATATTTTCATGCTTGCTATCAATTCTCAGCCCAGTTCACAAGGCTGCAAGTGCTTCACAGGGCTCCCCACCTGAAGACCTAAGAAAGGCTTCCATCACCACATCTGATCCCTCCCTTCATCCCAGAGCTCAGTTACAGTTATTTGTGCAATTTACAATGAGATCAGATTGCAGGGCCTGTGTGAAAAGGATCTTCAAATAAAAGATGTAAGAGATACAGATGGAGGTAAACAGAATGCCAATACATATTCGCAATGTATCACTGAAACTACCAAAAATGTAAGGAGAAGATTATTAACAGTTCCCTGTGAGGATTTAATGGGGATGAACATAGACATATTCCAGAAGAGGAAATCTGCCTGCCCTGACTACTCCCCAGGCAAAGCACTGAGCCTATTTCATACGAAATTGCAAACAAATTCTGTTAAATAGAGATGAAGATTGTTTAATGTTATCTTAGTAACAGTCAATTTATGAAGGTGGAGCTTAAAAAGCCAATGGTCTTCAAAGACTTTTTTCTCCCTGCCAAACAAACAATTTAAAAAACTTTGCATTTAGCAACAGAACATTTTAGAGATATGGTGTGTGAATTTACAACAGTACACAATACACATTTAAAATAATAAGATGCCAGAAATTAAGGCTAGCTATTAAAGTAATTATGCTATCAAAAAGTTACAAAATTTAAATTAAAACATGCATTTTTCAATTTTCTTTTTACTGTGCTGTAAATTAAGTGTCTTCATTGAGAAGGTATCAGTTCAATGTCCAAGGATTTCAGCAACTGAGGTTTCAACCACAGCTAATTTAAGTCCTACGTTAATTTTTGAGTTCACTGCCATGCAGCAACACTGTTCCCATGAAATGAACGCCATGGAATGGGCACCAGTTGCAGGGTCAAAGCAAGCAAGCAAAACAAAACAGGTGCAGTTGATGCCCAAAGAGATCAGAGGAAGTCAGGCCTCAAAAGACAGAAAGCAAATACTATTTTACAAATGGAGTTCCCACATACCCAAGTACAGCTTATAACACTGCCTTGATATGACTCAACCTCTATCCACCAAAAGGAGTGCAGCAAAAGTGACCTAATACAGTATTTCCCTACCCTGCTATAGGAGACACAGTTCAGATTTCCCACTACCGATCAGTCAGGTAAATAACTTATGGTACATCAAAAAATAAAACCTGCCTAGGTTAGTAGGTGGCAACACAAAAGCAAAACACCCAGCTTCATAAAAGAGTTGGTCTATATATTTAACTTAAATCTTTCCTTAAAATAAAACTACTAAAATTAAAAAAAAAGAAAAAAGAAGGAATCTAACATTTCTAGTGAAATCAGACTTTAGCCATGGTTATTTATAAATATGACCATCCACCTCCACTTCTGTGATGGAGTTCAAATGAACAGGCTTTGGTAAGAACAGAACAATGGCTCTACCCATTCCAGGTACAGTTAAGAGAAACCACGTGCATTTTGTACACCGCTTTCTAAAAAATACATTCTACAGTTTTTCAATTTGTAGAACTAACCACCTGTATGTAATAGCTAAAGAAAATAATAAACTGTGCATTTTAAAGTTAGCATTTCTTTCACCTTTACATATTTTAGTGCAAAATATTTTAGGGTGAGGATTTACAACAAAAATGGCAGTAGCAGCAAGAAATCTTGTTTTGTACAGTAACAACAATGCTAAGGAGTTTTGTGTTTAAATGACAAAACAGTATCCTGTTGCCAGGATCAGCATATCTAAGTGTTTCAGGCACTGTATTAATTAAACTAGCACCCCATTTCATTATGGAACTAATGGACAAAACATGTCATGGAGATAAGCTAAGTTTAATTTATGCCAGAGGTTTCTTTTGAAAGAAGTTGCAAAGGCTTTTGCCAATGGTGTTTAAACATAAGGGTTTGTTTTTCTGATTACTGGCATGTTCTCAGGAATTAGTTTCAGTCCTTGCCATGAAGACACTGCTCACATTATGAAATTTTAAACCTCTCATGACAGTTTCAATTGTGGAATTCTCTCGTGGAGAAATCTGATGCTTAAAAACACAGTAGCAGAACTAAATTACACTGTTTAAATGTTCAGATGAGAAACCATTTCTTTTGTGATGAGAAAGAGCATAATTAATATTTCAGGCTTAAAGTCAAAACTGTAGGTAACGTACTTTTAGAGACTGGGATAAAAAGCCCACTTAGTCTTGAAACATCTGAAGGACGTAACAATACCATTGTACACCAACACTCGGTTCATTTCTTCTGTTCAGGGGAGTGAAGAAACCACTCCTGACACTGATTGTCTCCACTGAAAACAAGACAAGTGAGGTCCCCGATGTTCATATGCTGCAGATAAGTCAGGTTAGACCGTAAGGAGGGAGAATTCCAAACACGAAAAAACCTACAGAAGTTCCCAGAGTTATGACCCAGTGGAGTGAAGGCTGGGGATTGGGTAGAATTTGGAAATCCGGCTTTGTGTGGAAGGATTAAGGCATTCGGATTCTCCAGTCATTTTAAAGAAAACTTCCTGTTCCTGCAGTTTTCTGGCAAATTCTTCTTCCAGCATCTAAAACCAAAATCAGATTGTCACAGGATTAACAAGGCAAAGTACAAGAAACCCATTATTGTGGATGTTTTGTCTGATGTATCTCTGAATTGTGTGAAACTCTAGTACATTCCCTTTTAAAATAAAATAAACACCCAAACCAACCTCCACCACCAGCTATGCCTGCTATATATCAGTCAATTTTTGTAGTAATTTACTGGCTTTTGAAATAAATTCCTAACCCCAGATTTACCTCTAGCTAAGTGTCCCATGCAAACCTGCACATGTGTTACAGATGGAAGCCCTGCAAAGAGGCTGGTAACACACAGCCTGTTTTGGTACACCTGCTGTTTGCTCAGCTTATGCAATTTTTTAACATCTTTTATTATATCATGAACTGCAACAACTTTGTACAGCAGCTTGACTCTCCTTCTCTGCAATACTTCTGTATGGTCTGTATTTTCTAGATCAAACCATTAATAATTTCCTGATTCATGAACTGCTTCCATTTACCTTTTTCCTCGGTCTTAACTTTTCTCTCCATTCCTTCAGTTCTTGGCTGTGCTCTTCATCCAGTTCTTTTAGCTTCTGAGTCTCATGCTCAACCAGTAGATGGCATTTTTCATTCTTAAAACAAGATAATCCTTATGTAAAACTAATTCAGATTAGGCAACTCAACATTTGTACAGTGACATATGTTGTCCTAATTCTTTCTAATTAGCTTATTCCGTGTAAATAGTGACGTGAATAATTACAAGATGAAAGTATGTTACGAGGCTGTGTTTTCAAAAGCTGATCTTTCCATCGGAGCCAATTGAGATAAGAAACACTCGTAAATCCAAATACACTACTGAGCATCGTTAAGGCAGCTGCTGAGGGTGTTATTCAAAACTGTTTCACTGCATAATGATGCTTTTCAAGGTCATGCAGCATTTCTGCTTTGCTTTTTAAAGACAGTCTGTATAATTTATTAAAACCAATTACATTAAAAGGAAGCTGTTTTTTTGGAAATATTTCAACTCTTGGTGCCAAGAGCTGAGACAAACAAATGGAGCTTAGAGAGGAGACAAACGTGGTTGCAGACGCAGCCTCCGAATTGCCCTATGAAAAGTCTCAAACAACACCTCAGCTTCACATTTCTCCCAGTAAGGTACTCAGGCATCTGCCTCACTTTCAGAGGACTTTTGAAGCCTGACAAGAAAAAAAATCAGTTATTTGGCTTCAAGTCTCTGCACTTTAAGAGCAGTTGGCAAGGGTAGTGTTTCTAGGGTTCCAGTCCCAAATGGGTCTGATGCAGAGTACAGAACCTCAGCAACACAAACAACAAGCACTTGGCTAGACCTGAGTGCAGCAAGGGGCCAGTTTTCCTTGTGAAGCTCAGAGCAGCCCTAATCTGCTCAATTTTACTGGAGCTGAAACTCTCACAAGGCTCCCACGGTACTTGGGGATTTACTGGGGCATATTAGCAGCACAGCCAGGGACTGTTTTTGCAGGATGTAAGAAAGTGAATAGAGTAGAATGAGCTTCATTGGTCATTGCACCATTTCTCTAAGCTAAGGTTATCAGCAGGTGATCATTTAATGCTTTAAAACTGCCTTGTGTCCCTGAAACTAGGAAAAGCTGATTTAACAGAAAAGGAGATCTGGCCTCTGGTATCCAGCAGAAACTTTTATGGAATGCATACCAAAAGAGACAAATCAGAGGTCCTTATTACAAGAAGAGAATTCCTTCTAAGTACCGTCCAGAAGCTCACAAGCAAGTGGCAGCACTTGGTAAAAACCTCCTCATTCCTGTATTGCTGTAAACTTATCGTGGGTAATGCCTGGTGCTTCCTACCTCTGTTCTGATTAATGACATTTCAGCAAAATCAGGTTAAAAGGAAATGTTGCCTATATAAAATAGCTCTGGGAACTTGACAGATAATCCAGAAGTGATCATCTGCTTCTGTCTCCTGCTCTTCTTGCATTGAAAATTATTCCTCATTAATTGATGGGAACATATGAATCTGGTAAAGCAGTGCACTGCAGGCCTTTGGAAATAAAGTTGAAAAAACTCTATACAATAAAAATTAAGGAAAAGGTATTTCTGCTTTGCCTGCATCTGGTATTAACCTAAGTCTTCCCACTGAATGGTCATTTAATATCATCTATTTTTAACCTGTAACTGATGCAGTTCCCTGATGTTTGCTTCGCACTGCAACTGAAGGTCCCGCATTTGGTTTTCATGTTTCTGATGCTGCGCCAGTCTCTCATTCTTCTGCCTCTTTTCTTCTTGAACAGCAAACTAAAATTAAAAGTAAGAGATTATTTATATTGCACCTCTGAGTTAAACAGTTTGCATGAGTCAAAGAACTGCACCTAATAAAATGAACACATACTGAGAAGAACAGTTCTAGAACATTTAAGCAGTAATTTTCTCTATTTTTCCTTTTTTAAATTCTTACAAAGGAAGTGCCCTGCAGTTTTAATCCAATTTCTGTCTGCACTCTGATTTTTCCTTAAAACACAGCACATTTCACTTCCAGACTCCTGAAATTACCTCTGAAGCTGTGACACAGCAGTGCAGCTGCAAGCATTGGTTAAGGCTGGTGTTAAACAGCTACAGGAGGCCGTATTTTCCACATTTTTCATCCTTCCAGTGCTCACCATATGAAACCATGATTTGTGACTATCATGCATCATTAGAAAGCAAACCTCTCAACCTCTGCACAGCATTGCCTTTTAAACAATGAATACCTACAGCTTTAGCTCAAAAGCTCACAAAAATCAAGCATCCTTAAAAATGTTTCAAAGAACCACAGAACAGTTGAGGTTGGAAGGGACCTGCAAAGAATCAACCTCTCCACTCAAAGCAGGGTCACCAGGACAAGGCTGTGTAGGACTGTGCCCTGTTGGGTTCTGAGCATCTCTAAAAGTTCTCTGGACAACCTGGTCCAGTGTTTGATCACCTTCACACTAAAAAATGTTTTCTCATGTTGAAGTTAGATTTTCTGTATTTCAGTTGTGGCTGCTGCCTCCCACTGGGAAGAGTCTGGCTCCACCTTCTTCACTCCCTCTATTGGGTACTTACACACATGGATAAGACCCTCCTGAGCATACTGTCCTCCAGGCTGAAGCATCCCAGGTAGCCCAGGTGGCTCCTTGTGTAACAAGACACTTGAGTCTCTCAGCCATCTTCAAGGCCCTTTGCACAACTTGTTCCAATAAATCTGTGTCTGACTTGTACTGGGAAACCCAGGACTGGACCCAGTGTTTCAGAAGAGTCTCACCAGAGCAGCAGGGAAGGATGATTTCCTCTGACCCCCTCCAGTGCATCAACCCAGTTTGGAACCATCTGAGAACTCATGAGCATGTCCTCACAACTACATCACATTCATCAGGATTTACACTATTAAAACTACTTAATACTAATTTATTAATTACCTGCTTAATTTTTTCACGATCTTGGTCTGGAGACGCAAATGAATTGATTCTTAAACTTTTCTTAAACATGGCCATCCGAGTCTTCGCTTCACTTCGCTGGATTTTAGGCAGTCTGGCTCTTTCCTGAGTTTGCTTGTTCTTTAACTCCTCTATAAGGCGTTGATTATATCTCTGCATTTGTTCTGTTTCCTGAAAAGTTGACCATGTGGAAATGTTACACAGTAACTGTGATGTTATACCGTGTGCATCTCTTCTCATCAATAAGTTCCCTGTGTGAGTGAGTCAGTGCCCCTGAGCAGAAACCATTCCCAGCCCCAGGAGTAACAGTGGGGAGGAGGGGCTTCTTCCAGAGAGCTCTGGATCTTGCCCAACCTGAAGAAAATTCCTTAATAAATGTAAATACACATATATTTTACCAGCACTTACTCAACTCCTGCACTGCTTTTTACAAAGCCTGTTATTCAAAAGGAGAAACTCCTTTTTGTGCAACTGAACTGGTCTATGGCTGTGGAGGAGCAGTTTGCTGCAAAAGCTGGGGAAAGCAACAGCCTGCATGGGATAAACCAGAGTGGACAGAACAAGCCTTCAGTGGAGGCTGATCATGCTCTGATCACCAAACACCTCCCTGCTGGTTTACATTTTCAGAACTCAAACTATTTGCTTTCGTGTATGCTATAAAAACCAAAGTGCCTTGCGGAAAATAAGGATTTAACTATAAAGAGACAGTTGTCAGCTACTCGCCCAGAAGCTAATCCAGTTCGTTCTGCTCATTTAATTCCAGGATTATTTACTTCTGAACAGATTTGTTTAAACACAAATCAAAATGGGTTTTGGTGGATAACCAGAATTTGACATTTTTTATAGTAAAAGACTGATGTTGTGGTTGGTTGGGTTTTTTTTTGAAAAGAATCGAAAGGGAAAATATTAATTATACTTCTATATACTACTAAATTATTCAAGTAAGATGAATAAGATTTTTTTAATTTCAACAGAACACATAACAGCTTCAAAATACTTGTCTGGGTCTTGCCTATGCAAACAAACAGCACCAAGAGAGATCCTAAGACTACTTGATTAAAAAATGGGTATTATAATACACACGAGAAAGTGTCAAAGTCAACACTAACTTTTTCATGCCTCTTAAGCAGCTGGTGCCTCTGCATGAAGTACTGATCCTTGAGCTGCTGCTTGAGAAGCTGGTGTTTCTCCTGTAGGTGCCGCTCCTCCAGCTCCCAGAATGCAGCTTCACGAGCTGAAAAAAAGAGAAAGGTTGGTTCACAAATTGCAATCCCATCCCATACTTCCCAACCTCGTGGTGCATGTTCAGAAGTGGCCTACAAGTACATTTTAAAAACAATGCTGTTTCATAGCAAAAATTTTTATTACAGTTCTATATTAGTCATGAATATTTTTTAACTCAAAGTGAAGGAAGACCACTGTTTTATTAAAACACCAGTGCCTATTTTGAAGACAGGGCCTGGTACTGGATACCTCTCATGAGCTGCTGTTTGTTGTTGAGGCAGTCTCGTTCAATAGTGGCCAGTTCTGTCTTCTGCTGCTGAATTATTTTCTTCAGAGATGCATCCAGTTCTTGTTGCTGTTTCTGCACAAACTCCTGCTCCTGGTAAAAACCAATAGAAGTAAATTAAATAGGGTTCTTCTAACCACATTACATGTTAATGAAACTCCCAGTTCTCTCAGCATTAGCTATATATGAAAACAAATACATCTAGGAAAGTTTGAGCTAGTGAGCCTTGGCTACCAAATTATCCTTTCTTTTTTTTTTTTTTTTTAATGTACAGAGTAGGTAAGAGCATATTCATGTTTCAATAATACCTTCAGAATTAAGGCCAAAGATAACAATCTAGCCAGCCATCTGCAACTCATTCCATCTGTTGTTTCTCCTCTGAATAAGATGCAGGTTCAGAGCTAGCAAAGACACTACTGAATCTAAAGTTGAACTCATTCTAAAATGGTTAATTATTTATGTATGTAAGGAAATAAAAGTATGTATGGCTATTCTGCTTTGGGTGATTAGTTAAAGCCTATTTATTTACACAGTTGGGTTTCAGATCTGTGTGGTTTATCTTGTCCTTAGGGCTGTTGAGTCTGGGAGTTCTTCAGGACCACTGTGCAGACACCCCATGTTCTGCAGGGCCCTAACTTGTTCACACCCCAGCTGAGCAGGCTCCTCACAAAGGGATTTATCACCTGCATCGTCCCATCATCCAGGTGTATCACTGTTACATCCCATCATGAAAAGCAGGCAGCATTGAGTCCCCATCCCATGCCCCAAGACCTACTGCTGCCTTTCTTCTTGGCAACTATTAAAGACCACAGCTATGAGCATGCAAGCATGCACACACACACATTCACACCTGCTTTAAGAACAGGAAATTGAATCAGATGCTTCTAGCACGATATCAAGGTCAAAAGAAAGGACAATAGCAGGGTCTTGTAGACAGGTAACATAAAACCAGAAGTGAATTAAGCTGACAGAGACAGACCTGAGGTACAAAAAGAACTGGAAGGTGATGTCCATAAATTAAGTCAGACACACCTAACTAAATTTGTGGAGTGACAAAAAATACTGTTTTTTCCTTTATACCTGAAAAGAATAAAAAGCTTACTGGTGTAATACTCTGAGGGTGCAGACACATAATTAACACAGTGTTTAATTTGCTGGGAGATTTTTGATTTGTAGGAAGCAGGGGAAAGCTGTTCTAGTGTAGCCACGGTCAAAAAGTGATTATGCTTGAGCTTTACACATTTAATCATAAATATCATTGCTGCTCTCTCTACAGAGTAACTCTTATGAAGTTTTATACCTGATAGTGCTGTAAGATAAACTAGGCAATCTCAGGAAACACTCTAGCCTTTCCACTTCTCAGATCTACTCAAGTATCACATGAAAAAAAGTCATCAACTTTACTAAAGAATGTGTTGGGTGGTTAAAAGGCAGACAGTGCAAAGCAGTCAACCTTTTTCAAAGTACCATTTGTTAGGACCAGTAAGTATCTTAAAATAAACTCAAACATCTTTAAAATACATGGTTTCACTGCACACACAGCATACAAGTCACACAACGTTTCTCACATGTGCTGAACAAACATCATGTTGCATGTGTGAACCCTCAGTGTCTTGCTCAGATTGAGTTTGGATCTTCTGACTATGGATAGTGCACAGTTACCTAAATTGGTGCTAGCCAGTTTGGAGACAGTAGTGACATTGATCAGCACATATGAGCAGAAAGAGAAAACACACATCTGGAAAATTAGGAAGATAAACTTGCACTGTGTTGTATTTTAAGACTTACATCCTGCATTTGTGCGTTGAAAAGTGTACATGAAGACAACTGAAAAGACTGAATCATAACCTGAGCAACACCCTGTGGGACACAATGTAATTCTGTGTCATAATATAGTAAAATTTATTTCTATTCTTAAAAAAAAGGAAGAAATGAGATCTGCTGTACATTAGTAATAAACATTTGAAATGTCAGGGCTAATCACACAAGTAGATGCTGATGGAAGTTCTCTAAAACTAAACAGCTGCACCTTGTTCAGTACTTACTCCAAGTAAGGACATTTCACATGTAAAATCTTCTTTCACTTTTCTTCAACAAATTGAACCAGCAAGGAAAATTAACCATGTGATTACAAACACTAATTAGATTTTTGTTTCCTTAAAAAGTTTAGAGACAGATACCTTTGGTGTGTGTTTGGGGAAAGTGTTGCAACTCAATCACCTTCTATCCTGGGAAATCCCCTCTTAAATTAAACACATAATCGAATAAAGTTGCTATTATTTTCTACTAGGTCACTCACATAAACGTTTAATCTTTAAGTTACTCAATCCAAACCTGCTCTGCTGTGGTTCAAACTCACTCTGTACAAGCTGTGGGCATCACAAAGCCAATATTTTCCTAAAATACTACCCCTCTTTCTAGCTGGGTCATAAAAAAGCATCAAGTCTGAAGGCATAAAATCACATATGATGTTTTGTAAAGTTTCCATACACCTACACTTTGACATTTAAATAACATTTTACCTAATCTGTTCTGTTCCTATAAACAAGATGTCTCATGCTTACATATTAGATACATTTTCCTCCTCTGCACTTGTGTAGTTCAAAATTTCCTCCTGACTATAACCTTTAAAATCTGAAGGACCCGTGGAGTACTTACCACTCATAAAAGCACTGTAAACAAACTTGCTGCAGAAAAGTACCATTCTTTATCAGCAGAGCACACAAAATCCTACACTTGACAGTACAAACCCGGCAACCACTGCTCCTACATTTCTACCCAGTTAAGTCTAAGATGTGACATGGGAGTACTTGAAGAAAGAGAGCAGTTCATACGGTTAGTTTGAGTTAAGTTCCATATTCACTCAACAACAACCAGAAGTGAAATCATCAAGCTGTGTGAATACTGCTGCCTTTTGTATTTTAGTAGCTTGAAGCTGCCATTGTTACCTGAGCATGCTGGCTTTGTGCAAGCTCCTCTTTCTTGCGTTTCATGAGCTCTTTTCTCAGCTCTTTTGGTGCTTTCTCCACTTCACATAAAACCTACAGTATATATAAGCATGCAGAAGGTGGCAAAAAGAACACTTTGTCTCCACAGCAAGCACTACTGTGAACACAGGGACATACAGGTCAAGCACTAGAGGTAGTGGGAAGCATGCATTACTTCAGTGGCAGGGATGTTAGTTTAGTGAAAGAGCTTAATGAAAAGAGAAAGAACAATAGGTGATTTATGCATGCCAGCAGTGCAGAGAGGAGGGATGTGCCAGTGCTTTTTGCATGCAAATGCTGCCCAGTGCCCTCAGAAATGGCAGTGCCTCGATTGTGCTTCCAATGCAGCCGCCAGGAGAGCCAATAGTTAAGAAAACCACCACCTGCAGAAGTGATGTTTTCTTGAATCACTATGGCAAAAGGACTACAGAGTATGTTACCTCACATAAAGCTGTGATAAATGGTTGGAAGCTTAAAATAACTTCCACTGAAAACCAGCTATTTCTGACACTGTCTCTAACCTAAATTTACAAGATGTCATTATTAGTTTCTCTGACCACAGATGACATCTACACTTCTCATGTCTTCAAAATAATCATACAAGCAAACAAAACATTATTTGGTTGTGTTTGGTTCTGAAGAATTTAAAGCAAAACCCACCAATAAATAAGAGTGCTTTCAAGAAACTTTCCATGACACGTATGCTGGGATGGAACGTGCTTCAGTACACGGTGATTTAGACAAGATTAGCAGAAAGTTTCTAAATATAACCTGGCTAAATTAATCTGTTAATTTGCTGATGAGTTTTGTTTTTCAGAATTACAAAAATGTACCACTGTACACTCCAATATAACACTGATAGTTTTAGAGCAGCAGCTGCATTTTCCTTTAAACTGTACATCGCCTTTCTAAGCTTTAAACACGAAACTATGCACCCAGAGACAAATGCCTGTTTGTTTAATAGTGGAAGCATCATCAGAAAACAGAGTCCAAATCACCACATGCTATTCCTGTGTCCATGAAAGAACTGCTTTTAGCTCAGAGCAATATGTAAAATTCTCCCAGTTTCCCACGTAGGACCCAATCACCAGTGAACAGAGAGAGACTCAAAATGCAAGAGGTACCGCAAAAGAAGAAAAATTGTTATTTACATACGAGCATACGGTTCAAACTGAATACAAGTTATTTTTCAATGCACTTTTGTGCTACAAGATCATTCTATGCAAAAGCATTGACAGTTTTGCTTTCTAAAGAAATCTGAGTCTAGTAACTATTACACCAAACACTAGAGCCATTTATATAGAAATGGGCACTACACAATTGAACCAAAAATGAAAAAAACCAGCTTTTAAGATTGAAAATCCACATGGAAACATACCACCTTTTCTTAATCCAATGCAAGTAAATTAATTGCCACCAAATGTCAGTGTCAGTCTTTTTGCCTTAATTATATGACATTTATGAAATTAAGAGATTTTAGGTTATCCAGACTTCTCTTTCCCAGCATTCCTTTTTGAGCTAAGAAACCAAATCCATATTGCTGCTATCACTTCCTGTAAAAAAATTCTAAACAACTACAGCACACATGCAATAAAAAAACCTAACAGATTAACAAAAATTAAACATATCTGAAATTACTGCCTTCAAAATTCTAATTTGTTAAGCATTTACTAAGTAACTATAGCTGGGTGTTTTTGAAGTAGAAACCTCAAATACTTTTCATAATCTTTATTAAAATATTTTTTCTTGATTTAGTATCATATAGAGAAATTATTTTATTAAATATTCTGTGAAAAATAAAATCTTATAACTTGATGATGTTTTCAAGATTAAGTTAATACCTCACGCTTCCTGTCAGCTGTTTGTATTTCACTTTAGGCATTTCACTTTAGTTAAACAAAAGAAACAATTCTGACTGGTAGTGACACTCCCAAACCCCAGTACAGCATGGAATTGACAAAGCTTCTGGGAGACCTAATCTCAACTGTTTGCTATGCCCACACTCTTTTATTTTCTATATTAGCATCATCTCTTACCTCTTTTTTTTTGTTTTTCAGCACATTCTGGAATTTGGACAACTCCTTCTCCTGCTCAGCCTTGATGCGCTTTGCTTCATCCCGTAAGCGATTTGTGTGCTCCTGCTCCAGGCGCTCGATCGTCTGCTTCTGCTGCTTTTCCAGGTTCTCTATCTCTTGATCGTACTGTCGCTTTTTATTCTGTAAAAATAATTTGGCACCTTTTTTTAGAAAGCCGAGTCCTGTTAAGTGAAGTGCTGTACCACAGCAAGGAATGTCCATGATGGACAAGCTCCAGCACAGGCTGGGCACCCCACAATGGAAAGTAGTGCCTTTTATTTAAGAATGAAGGCTAAGCTAGAGCCATCATGGCAGGAAACACCTGATTGCTGTCAGCACTATTCTGCCTACTCCACCAAGATTTCAAACTTCAAGAGCACCAAAATTCAGAAACTCACTGTCATCTCCTGTTCAAAACGTCTGTACATCTGCTCTCGCTGCTGCAGAAGCTTATTGCTGAGCTGCTGTTGGGCTCTCTGCTCCTCTTTCTGAAGAAGTCTCAGCTCTCTGAGCTCTTGACGTCTAATAAGGACAAAAAACATTTTATACTGATGGGAAAACATAAGAAGTAGAAAATGACAAAAAACAAAAAGGACCATTGGCAAATTTGGCCCAGTAAAACTAATTTTGAACTGATTGTCTTAAGAAACACTTTACATTCACTCCTGCAAAAAAAAATGTAAATTAACCCCAAATATAACTAAGATCATTAGACCCTTTGTTTTATTCAAAGAAAAAAAAAAATCAGCTATTAATCTCTTGAAAATTTTACTTTTAAAAACACTTACCGTAGAAATCTCATTTCTTCACTTTTTGAATCATTTTCAGTAACTATTTTTGATGTGGTGACACTCACTTCTACTCCATCAACGACAAACTTCCGAGTTTTCTTTAATGTTTTCTTCTGCCTTCTTGTTTCCTAAATTAAGCATTGGTAAATTATAGTGTATTTATTGAGGTAATATTATTTCTTCTTCTTTTTGTTAATATTGAATTATATCAAATATTTCTGGGAATGTCTTCTATACAGTCATCAAGAGTCCTTCTCACTTACCAGGTGCCTTACTAATCTGACTAATCAAGTGAGAATTTCAAAAATTCCAATAAACTGAAACTTTCTAGTAAGGAAAGGAAAACTGCAATTATTGATTATCCAAAGTACCAGAAAAAAAAAAAAAATTAAGCTAGAAACTCTGAAGAGAACTGATGCAGTTTTATTGAAGACAGCTGCATTTACTGTTTGTTTTTGACCATGATTTCCGCAGTCACCAATAGGCATTTAATTCTGAAAATCAGTTCTGAAACAGGATAAAAATTTACTCACTTCCTCCTGCTTTGGACATAAACAAGTGAATTTAAAAAATCACACAATAATCTTGCTGACAACTGGAGAAGTCTCAGTTGTTAGAGCTGCTGTTGTTTCATTGAAAGAAGAGAGGGACCCCAGCTGAAACTGCACCATATCCATTGTGTCAGGGCAACTACAAACACCCTCGTGTTTAGCACAGCTATGCCAATCTATGATTTTTCTGTTTGGTTGTCTTTCTAGGTTTGTTTTTCCTTCCTCTCTTCAAGCCCATGTTACACAGTTACTTACCCTAACATGGCTATACTCATATTAATACAAAGACTACAAATAAAGTTCACAGTCTGGAATTTGCTTCCTCCAAGTAAGCTCACTGGCAGTGACATAACTGCATGGACACAGAACAACCACAGGAGAACACTTATTGGAATAAACAAATCCAGAATGTCTGCCTTGGGTCTCCCAAATCCAAACAGAGAGATGGAAGATGGAAGTGACAGGAATTCAGTGTAAGATTAGATGTTCCAAGAGATTTTTCCCATTGAACAAGAATTCTGTGCATTTAGCTGGTATTATTGAGTATCAGCTCTGACCTACAACTGTTCACAAATCTTCATGTTTAATATTGTGACACTTGCTGTTTTAAGTTACACAATTATGCATTACAGAAAGAAACTAATTAGCATGACTCCAAATAATCCAGACACTGTTGTATGGTGCAATTTAGAAAACTTTGCTTTCTACAAAGCTTTGTATATATGTGCCACACTGGTTTCTCCCTCAATACTTCGTAGCAAAGGTAATCCTTGAAGATAATTTCAGGGTTACACTCGCAGGAGATTTTATATTAAAAAATATATGTTTACACTTACCTGTAAAGATATTGATCCTGTCTCCTTGTTTTTACTAAGGAAACTAGAAATGGACAAGTTCAAATCAATGCTGCTGTTATCAGCTGTAGAACCAGTGCCTGAATCCACATCATTTTCCTTCAAATTCTCAGATTCCAGTTGCTGTAAAGTCTCAGTATTGCCTTGATTATCTGTCTTGACCTTCTCATTTTCTTCAGTGCTAATGCTAATACTGGGAACTGGAGTGACTTCAGAGTCATCAGCTTGTTCACTGACAGCATCTTGAAGCTTATTCTTCATTATTTCATCAGAGGTAACTGCTGGATGCTCTTTGTCTACATGGATGTTGTTTTCCTGCATATTCTCAGGTCCGTGCTCTCCTGAATTTTGGTCCATTCCAGTCAGTTTATCCACCAGCTTATCAGGAATATCCTCAGGTTTGTTCTGTAATGCCTTCTGATCTATGATGTCTTCTTCAGAGTCTTTGATCCTTGTTTCCTCTGTGCTGTTTATATTACCAATACCCTCATTTTCACTTTCTGCCAGTTTCTTGTCTACTTCGATCACTTTATCTTGGCTTTCTGATAGAGGTTCTTCAGAGCTGATTATCTCATGGACCTGCTTAGCCTGACTTTCCACTGGCTTATCCTCCAGCTCAGGTATTTTATCCCCATCACTGATGGGTGTTTCAGCAACAGCACCTATCTCCTTAATGTTGTCAATTCCATGCTTTATTAGTTCCTTTTCTTCATCAGACACTTTAACTGTAGCATTAGGCAGAGTTTCTGTACTGCTATCTATTACTGCCTCTTTCTGAGCTCCACTTTTATCTTCCTGTTTCTCTGCATCTCTATTTTCTGCAGGGACCTTTTCTTCCTCACCATCCAAAAGATCCGTTCTCCTCTCCTCTTCTTTTTCACCAGTTTCCTTATGAATGCCTTCTTCAGTCTCTACCCCACCTTCAGTTACAGGTACTACTTGCAGTTTGTCATCTTCTGTCTGTTCAACTGCCATGGAATTTTCTTTCTCTATTGTTAAGTTTGGTTCATGCTTTATTTCCACATCAAGTTCTTTACCTCCTTTCTGAGGTTCTGTATCCTCATGCATTTTTTCCAGGCTTTCTGTATTCTTTTCTGCTAGCACCATTTTGCCTTGCTCATCTTCACCAGTTGGCAAAGAACCATTCTGCACTTTCACATCACTAATGGGAGTATCATGTATGTTATCAGCTGTTTTCCTAAATTTAATGTCCTCAGATTCATCTCCAGTTGTTTTGTCCTCAATGGCATTACTTTCTGTTTTCTCAGAGAGAGATTCCAGGACAGAAGCATTCTGTGAAAGTTTATCCTCTTCAGAGCTGGCAATACTAAGGTCAGAGGATGCACGTTTCTCTGCAGGTAACTGCTAAAAAATTAAAGCAAGAAAAAAATTTAATCATTTTGTAACTTAATCAAAGCACAGTTTTAGGGAAGAATATGTGAACAGAGATCAATATTGTATTCTCAAGCAGTTATATGCATTTAATAACCTCAAGGTCCTTCCCTTGGACTAGCACAGAACAAGTGCATGAACTGCAGACAGGCTGAACAGAAAGTTTCATGGTGATCAAGGGAAAGGGATCATGGTCATCAGCTACTTTTCAAGGGTCTTTTTCTTTTCATATTCCTTTTTTTTTTAATCACTGCAGCTCCTCAGCGGTCTCAGCAACAGTTGGATTTAAAAGATTTAACATTGTGCCAGCTGGGCAAGGAAGAAACTGTAGCTTTAGTTAGTGCAGCACTGATAAATGCAATATTAAGACCTTCTTCTGCTTCACTTCGTATTCTTTGCTAAAAATGCCGGAAAACTTTTCATCTGGTTTTAATCATGTTGAAATCCCATTAAAATGGTGAAAGCCTCCAGCAGATCTGATTAAGTGGCAGTACAGGACTAGAACAGAGACAGTTACCAGAAACTGCCACTGTCATAATATGAATAAATGTTACCAGATTCCATAGAGACATCCAAAAGTACATAGTAATAAAGCATCATTTTAACCACAATTGCCCTTTTACTCTTCAAAGTGGCCGTGATATGTGTCTGCATTTAGTGCTAGGATCCTGTAATTTGCAGATCCGGCTTCTGATCCTAAGTTAGCTGTTGCAGCGAGCAACAGGTTTGATTGTGCATTTCCTACCTTGAGGATTTCCCAAGGATACAGGAAACAATTATCAATATTGCATTTAGAATATTTCTTCATGTAATTGTTTTAGTATTGATCTCCTGGGAGTGTTTTAAACTACGTCAAGTAAATAACATGAGAGGGCTTTACCTCACACTTGCCTACAACCCTGCTTGAGATTACGTGACTGAGTCCCAGGGTGGACTCCAGCCCTCCTGGATGGATGGCTTAGCAGCTCATCAGCGGAAGGAGGTGGTGGATGATCCACAGGAGGGGAGGCGCTGCTGGGGAGGCAGTTTGGAGCCCGTAGGGTGGGCTGGGAACACAGTAAGAAGGTCAGGGGATGTGAGGAACGTGCTGATGGGTGAGGGGGGCAATGGAGGCACCTGCTTGAGCACTTGACTTCTCCAGCAGGAACAGCAGCTCCAGGAGCATGGCCTGGGTGCGCTGCAACCTTCATTCCTGGACATCAGAGTCTTCCCTCTGAGCAACCACACTCATGCTCTAAGAGTCTTAAAGCATCTTTAGAACTACATTCATTACAAAATATGTGTTTTTTTCCTTTCCTTTGATAGCCACACTGTAAAATCACAAACTTAGTTTACTGCATAACAGTCAAATACCTTTCTTAATCTTTTACACTTTATGATATACAAACATGTTTCCTCATTCACCCAGTCATTATGACTTAAAACCACTTACATAAAAATCAATATTCCATTTTTAAAATATCACATATACATGTAAAAAAATATTAATTTTCATTAGCTATTATTTATTGGTAGTTTTTGAGTAGTTCAAACACGCTAATTTTGAAATTGCTGGCTACCTATTTTGTAATATGTTTAGAGTATGTTTATGATGTTATTCATAGAAGATCTGATGTCAAAGTTGGGCTAAGAGAACTGAAACTGAATTCTCCATGGGAAATTTGCAACGGCATATTAAAAAAAGTAAATTTTGAACTGACCAGAGAATTTTCTGTTTCTTCTTCTTCATCCTCATCTTTACCATCTTCAACTTCTTCTGTAACTTCAGCCTTTGCTTCTGCAATCAATTCTCTTATTGGTTTATTTGAAGTAACAGTAACAAATGGATGCTTATGAAAACAAAAAAAAAAAGCACAATATTAAATGGTGGCTTCATAGCATACAGTAGGAAAATCATAATCTGAAAGAAACATAACTTTAGCCAAGAGTTACTTTGGTTGCTTCACATTTGAAGATTCACAATTAACATAACTGTTCCATTGTGGTTTTTCTGCAGAAGTCTTTAAATGAAAAGATTTTTATTCAAATACACTGTATAAATAGTCTAACACACCTGCTAAAAATACAAATGATTCATTTATACTGACCTTTTTCACAATCCAAAGAACAGAAGTAGAAAGATTTTTAAAAAAGTTATTTTTCTTGGAATTAGGTTTCATTTCAGCTCCACAGTTAAATTATTTCTTGACAAGCTTTTAGAAAATATACTTTCTAGAAAAAAATGTGCTTTGTCTTTACAGCAACTTTTCCTAACATGAACTAGAATTCTACCTTTTTCTTTAAGAGCAAGCAGGTACCTGTTCCTCCCCTACTGCCTGAATCTTCTTTCTCTGCGTGGCCCTGCTGCTTAAATCTATTCAGCATATGCCAGGCAGATTGTGGATAAAGCAAATAAGTGCTGACGTTAAACACAATCAAATGTACCTGGTCACATCTATTCCTGTTCAGCTGTTCTGCAGTGACAGCATTACAGAGGAGGGCTGAGCACTAAAGCTTTTAAAACACCTGTCAGCAACTGGCCACAGACGTAAACAACTCCTTCATTCACTCTAAGTATCAAAGTATAATTTCCTACACAAAGTAATTAGTTTTATTACAGCAAAATATATTAAACTAATAACCTGATCTGTGCTTGGTATCATTTAATCAAATTTTACCAAATAAGGATCAATGTAAAAAACAGATTGTAGGCAAGCACCTAATTTGAAAATACTTAAATAGTTACTATAATACTGCTCTGCTTTTAAGAAAGTACAAAATATGCTTTGCCTTTAAACAAGAGTTCTGAACAATTAACTCTTCCTACCTGTAGAAGTTGAGTTGCACTCCACCTTGCATCTACATTCTTTTCCAAACATTTCTTCAGAAAATCTTTGAAATCTGATGACCTACACAACAAGCAAACAGGCAGTGGTTGTTCTTCTGTCTCAACAGACTAGTATATAAACTGAAATATTCTTTAGGTTCACATGAATCTCCTCACTGCAACTCCAAGTCCTGCTATTGATGCAGGAAAACACAAAGGGAATATAGAAATGCAAAGACCAATACAGCACAAATACAATCTCCAAAAGGTTTGTCCATAATCAGAAGAATTTACTTTTTGCTCAGGACTATTAATACACCTCATCTGCTATATCACTAACTGAATCATGTGAAGATATTAAATTGACCAAATAGATAATGGCTTTTAAAAATATTTTCTTAATATAAAAATTCTTTAGTTTCCTTTCACCCAATCTTTTAGATGGCCTTCAGATCTGGTACTACATTTGTAAAAAAGCTACCTCCATAAATTTTTAGGCAAAACCTGTAAAATACTTCTGTATAAAAGCTTTATATAGAACTATGCCAAAAAAAGTTCCAATTGTGTGAGAAGACATATATTTGTATACATATATATTGCCTTAATGCATAAAGCTACACCACATAGTTCCACAGGGCTGTGCTCATCAAATTTAGCAAACAAATGACTTGGAATGCCTTACACTGGGGTGGGAAAGCTGCCAATAAAATACAAACCATTTTGAAGGCTGTGCCAATGTCGGCGGATCAGATTTTGCGATTTTCAGCAGCACTCGCATGGGATTTAGTTCATGATGAGGTGGCTCTATCTGAGCCATTTCTATTAAAGTAATGCCAAGAGACCAGATATCAGCCTTGTAATCATATGGCCTGTCTTTAGAGGTCTCACACATTACTACCTCTGGAGCCATCCTGCAAACAGAGCAACAAAGTTCCAGATGAGAAAATGCTTTTTGATCTGTTCTTAGAACAGTTCTAAACACAGACATTCACTGAAGCATTGCTAGAAGCACATTATACTGTCAGTATATTTACAAGTATTTATCAAGACTCTAATATCAAATTAAAAGGAACATTAAGATAGTAGTTCATACTAAAAAGTCAGCAAAAGAATGCACTTACCAATATGGTGTACCAATAAAGGAATCTCTTCTTTGTATTGTTCTGGTGTTTTTAGCTGATACTCCAAAATCCGCTTAAAGCAAATAACAAAATACTATTAATGGGGTGATGGAAAACATACTATTTTTTTTTTAACTTTACAATTGTCTTTTAAAATGGTATACGTTCCAGAACAAACATTCTTCAGTATTAAAACTTCAAAGAGAAATAAAAATATTTGTGTTCTAATAGCCAAGTGCCAAGATGTCATATCATTTATAATAAAAGATCTTGAATAAAACTTATTTTACATTTCTTAAAAAAATCCCAAACCACCATAATGCTACTCTTGAGCTGTATGGGATAAAAGCAAAATATGTATTGACTGCAGGGAAAAGTGCATTAAATTATTTCAATTAAAAATTAATTTGTTTAGCCTATAAAGTCTGTATTCATCAAACATGGCATCAACTATATCATTAATTCAACAACTCATTCAATTTTTAATTTCAAGACTCAAATCTTCATGAAGTTACATTTCCCCTTCATCTTATAGGTTTCTTTCCACATGATTTTTCATTTTATAATAAATATCTGAAAGCTTGCATATGTACTTTTCATGTAATATCTACCCAAAAAAAAACTTTACCCCTTTGCAACTAGTTGTCTATAAAGCATTACATCTCTTACTTAAAAAAAGAATACATTTAAATAAGTATTATATGCTTATAAGAGATGTAATTTTGTTAATGAAGATCTAGAGATTAGAGCAAAGGGACAAAGAGCCATATGTTGCCATCTTTAATCTGTACAAAATTACTTGATGAGCTGAATACTTAAGAAGTCTTATTTTGTTCTGTGGAAAAAAAATCAGGACTAAAATCTATTGGTTCAAAGGCAAAAAAGGGAAATTTTGAGGGACTACAGATGTTGAAATAATAAAACTCAGATCCATATAAAAATAAAATGCAATGAAAGAAATTTACTTGCCATTCACACATCTGTAAAACAAGGAATTACCCATTTCTTTGTATAACAGAATTCAAATACAAGTAGTTTCTAAGGAGTAAAGTGCTCCTTCAAAGGATGCTGTACATTTTTCATAACTAAATCAAGTCTTTTTTTAGAATTTTTAATTAGTAAACCTGAATGCATCACCAAATGCACGTGTGGAAGAAATCTCCCTGTGGTCTGAACTGTTAAGTAGTTATCCTGACAGCCTGCAAGGTGCTGTATACCAGCTTAGCTTGACAAAATCTTAAAATAGTTCCAAGTCTATATGAGGAGAAGCCAGGTCATGTGAAATGAACTGAAACAAATGACTCTCTGACCATGAGACTCCTGCTATGATCTGTGGTTTCTTTTACAGCAGTGCCAAGAAGCAAAGACAGTGGCTCTATTACATTTAAACATCAGGCCTGTGACCCCCAGTGCAACTCTAAATGTTCAGGCTTCAAAGAAAAGCTACACCAGTAAATCACCATGTACTCTGCAGACTAGAAGAAAGCCAGATGCAAGGACTGTGTGTACAAGCAATAATCTTGTACAAAAGGGATCCATGGAGAAGCACAATCACACTGAACTGATCAATATAGCAGAGTAGATTCCTAAGTATTCTCAGTTTCCTACTAGAGAAAGTGCACAGTACCCTGCTGAGACTGATCAGTATGAGTTAAGCAGGAGATATATTTCTAAATTTGGACATATCTTGCTCACATTTAAAAGGAAAGTCTGTAACAAGGCTGCAGATTTAGAGCCCCAGTTCCCCATGGCAATATTCTGATTCTCCTTACCTTTGCCCTCTGTGTATCCAAAGAAATACAACTGATCACACACCATGCAGGGGGAAGGCTTTGAAACCTGAGCATGGGCAGGGATGTCATGGAACTATGCTATGGGTAGAGCCACTGTAAAGGCTGACAGCTTATACACATTTTACCCTGAGACAAAGTGGATCCAGATAATTCCTGCCCTTTCCTGGCTGAATGAAGGGATGCTATTCACCACCAGCAGCCCTTTGTCAGTTCTACATGGAGGAATCCTCATCAGGCTAAAAATGTGGATGATTGTTTAAACTGAGATTAAAAAAAACCCCAGAAATCAACACCAGTAAACTGCATTAATTTTGTTCCAGAGTGGTCTGTCTTAACTTCAGTGCAAAAAACAATTGAAAAAGGCATGGAAAAAACTAAGCTGGGTAATTAAGAGATCTCTCTCAAAGGAAGAGACAACATTACAAGGTACAGTTTTTTCATGATTGTGAAGAATGTTCCCTTTCCAAGCTAACAACTTCAAAGAGAAGTTCAGATGTTATCACAGTAAAGGCAAGTATAATCAGGAACTTTATACTAAGAAACAGTAAGACCTATGACGACTTCTTGTGCTGATTTTCATATATGAAAGATGTGACAAGTATGGTCAGGATATTTGCTCAAGTTTTTTTGCTTGGTTTTTTTTCCTTGATAGTACAAAACCCCTTGTTCTGAAAAAACCTCTCATTGTTATATTGGTATTTCAGTACATAAATATTGAACTCTGTCAAACTACAGTTTAAGGAAAAGACAATTAAAAGACCATGCCAAGTTCCAGGAAAGGGTTTTATTTGCAACATGCTTACCTAGCTTAATGTCTCCATCTAATGTGAAAAGAATATTGCCAGCTTTTAGATCTCTGTGGATGATCTTATTCTCATGCAAGTAGTTCAGTGCTTCCAGTGTCTGCCTGCACACCACTTTGATCTGTGGCTCTGTTAATGGCCTTTCAAGCTCTACGAGAGAGTGACAGAAATAATCACAACATTTTTGCATTTTACGTTACACGTTCATAGCAAACACTATAGTAATATATGGGAAAACGAATTAATCTGAAGTAATCTAACCATCAGATGTCACACGAAAATTCTACCTTAGAAAATTTGCTCCTTCCAGTAAAGATTTTATTCCTTGAACCCAACCCCCTGCTCATTATGAATTATGTATACCTACCTATCTGAACTGTGAAAAAGCTACATAGTTTAGAGACTGGTTCTTTTGTGTGGAACACAGAGATGCTGAAGACCAGATCTTTTACTTACTGGTATTAGCATTTACTTAATTTGAGGAATAAGCATAGAAAACAGCCCTAACTTCAATGTAGATGCAATATAAAGAATTATCACAATGTAAGTTGGAAGGTGGCAGTGGAAGGGGAAGAATGAGATCCTGAAAAGGGCTCATACAGATTATATTATGAGAACACAGAGCTCCATAAGCAGAGAACAACACTTCACTTTCACTTAAAGGATAAAGACAAAAATGTGCCTAGAAAAGTAAATAAACACTTGAAAAATGAAAGATACAGGTGTAAATACTGATTTTTAAACTCCAACATTCAAAACATATAGCACACCAATTACATAAATACTTGTGAATCAAAACAATTCCACATATGAAACAAATATTACAGTACATATTATCATTTAAAGGTATTAGAATTATTAGTTGAAACTATTTACCCAACATTACTGCATCTACTGCTCCTCCTGCACAAAATTCAATCAGGATCTGCATATAAACAAATAAAAAATTACAGAAATTAGAAATTAAATAGTTCCACTGAACTGATTCATTGTATAAGGGAGTATTATTGAGAGATCAGAGTTTCAAACTATTTGGCCTCAACAAATTATTTTACTGATCTGCAAAATACTGGTACTGTTACCCAGCTAAAAGTAGGGCTGTGCTGCTCAAGCAAATTATTTGAAAAATGCCTTGAGACCCTCAGACAAAAGTTTTAATCCAACTAAAAAATAGCATAATAAAACTTATAAAACATAATGACACAGTCAGCTTAAACCTACTCCTTGTAATGTGATTTACATAATCCCTGAAAACTCATTTCTCGGTTATTAAGCTCTACTTCTATACTATAATCTCTCTGACTGAAAAGTCCAAGAGCTAAATGATTTTCCAGTAGCTGATGCTATCTTCCATATTGCTGCAGATGAGATGAAAATACAGAAAAATACTCTTTAAAAGATAAAGAAAATTACTAAATTCAGATGTTTACATTAATTTTCCTTCATGCCTACAATACTACTTTATCCCAGAATGTAATAATACCAGAAAATGTCTGTCCCCAGTTCTGAGTTTCCCTTTGAAACAGAAAAATATTGCAATTATTTTTGAGCACCAACTATGCTGCTATGAAAGACAGAAAGAATATATACAAAGGAGAAAGAGGGGGAGACAAAGAGAATGAGGAGAGCAAGAAAGAGGAAATCTCATCCAAGACTGATACCCCACTCTTCCTTATGTGGTTTTTTTTCTTTAATTTGAACTTTAAATATTATAAATTATAATCTTCTGTCTGAGAGCTAAGTAGTCAGAATTCCTTGTCAGAATCTCAACAGTCAATATGCTTGGACACACTATCTTATTTTTTTTTCTGTAGAGTAATTTTAAAATCAGCATATAATTGCCCATAAAAGAGGAAACCTCAAAGTATACCTTGTACCACAACACTTAAATATTCACCACTTGTCACATATACTTCAAATTATTATTGCAATTAATCCCCACAACAATGCTACCAACAAATATATTACATAATGCAATTCTTTGTAAAACCTGTAAACATTCCATTTACGTGCTTCTGTGTGCCAAGTAGGTAAGTGTGGGAAATTGTATATAAAGAATTAGTATCTCTAAAATTTGTAGTTTGATTTGACAAAGGTCTCTTTGCTAGAGAAATCATGTTTCTAATCTTGGAAAGCAAAAGTGTATTTAATGTCTAACTATCATTCTTCTTTTTTTTTTGCCCCCACTAAATTCTGTTTATATACCACATAATTATCCTTGTGGCTTTCAAGCCCCTGCATTTCACTGTAACTATGTAGCTCCAATTTTATTTTCAAAATCTTTACTTCTATCTTTATTCTGCCAGTGAAGCCTACCCACTCAGTTTCATATTGTGCCTCTACTCCTGCTTGCTTTCATACTGACCTTCATGCACAGAATTTTTTTCACTATTCCACTGTTTTATAGAATATTTTATCCTGCACTGAGATCACCAAGCTTTGAGCTTAGCAAAACAAATGTGAATCAGGAAACATGGTATTACACTTCCAGCATTTGCTCAAAGGATAAAGCTTATTTGTAAGACTACCAGGAAATCTTCTTTTACTTGTTTTAGGTATCTTTTTAAAGTATAAACTCCTAAAAAACCTTCCAACCCATGTATTCTTTGTACCATTCCAAAAACACCTATAAATATTGCACTGGATTACCTAAAAGTACAAACTATTTTGTCACAGCTAAAGCAATCCAAGGAAGTACCCAGGATGTAGCACAGCAGGGACATGCAGTCCAACACACGCTTTCCGCACGTCAAGGTACAAATACCCAGGGTTTAAGTAAATTAATTATGGTTCAAGCCCTGGTAAACTGTCCTTCCTGGGAGTGCCAATAAAGTCACTGGCATCTAAAGTATGTACTTCACAGGCTGACCTTTCCAGCACATTATTTATTTTTCAGGTGTGGATTCTGAATCTCACTTTAAATCGTGCTAATGTAATTGAAATCTGGGTCCTGCTGTTACAAATAAGCACCAGCTGAGAACTCTAGCAATACACAAAATGAACTGCTAATTTCCACATTTTAGATTCAAACCCCTGACCAAATGACTCAGGCTTGCACAATTCTACAGTGACAATTTCCTAAATCATACTCACAATTCACAAATTAGTTTTGAAACTGAGTAGTTATCCCAACAGTGACAACTAAGATGAAATCTGACAAATAGTATTTCAATAAAGAAAAAAGTGTAATTTCAATAACCTTTTTAAATAAGAAAAAACATTTAGAAAAGGAAAAATACCTACCCATAGATTGTTTTCATAGTAGAAAGCATCGAGGAGCTTGACAATATTAGGATGATCACAGGATGCTAAAATATCAATCTCCACCATGTAATCTTCAAGTTCTTCTTCCGATTTAGTATCTATCACCTTTGCAGCAGCCAGAACTTTTGTTTCTTTGTTCTGAGCCTGTAAAAGAAAAGTCACAACAAACAGATACATGAATTCCATCAGAAAACTGGCACCAGCAAAAAAAACCCACAAATAAAGCATCTCTCTCTTGAAATTTTGTATAATATTCCTGCCTCTGGTTTCCTCCGCTACAAAAAGAGAACACGTGCATATTAAAGAGGGAATAAAATGTAGTAGAACAAGGGTTTAATAACTTTTCTCAAGGCCAAGAAACAATGAAAGGCAAGAACCTAAAAATACTTCATTCTCATCACATTTTTTAAACCATCATCAATAGCCCAGGATAACTGCTGCCTCACTAAGATGAAGCTTTGTGCTGCTTCTCAAACACCATCTATTAACACTTGGCAATGCAAGGAGGAGGCAGGAGCCTCTACCCTCTGTTTCTGCCCTTCTGACTCTCCCCACGTTGTGGCAGCACCGCTGTTCCCAAAGCCACGCAGGGAACCAGATCCTCCCCCAGGAAGCAGCAGGTTGCTCCTCTTCAGCCAGAGGCTGTACGAAAGCTCCCAGCTTGAAGAGCTGCCAAGCCATCGCTAGTTTGGGCATTTTGCTGCCTTTGCTTCAGCAGCCCGAGGACTCACTCCCACAGACGGGACTCGTGCAAGGTGGGGCCCTGCGAAAGCTGCCAGCCTCCACTTGCGCACTTCTCACCCGCACACCGGGGACCTATGGACAGCTACAGAGCACGCACGAGCGAAGGGAAAACGAGACTTTGGGTACCCAAGGAAAAGGCATTTCTGCTGTGCATTGAGATATTTTTTGGCTTTTTTCAAACACAAGGAAATTACAGACAAGTCAGGTAACTTATTTCCATAGCAAAACATTTCAGAAACCAGGAAATACTACTTATAAACAGAACACGGCTGAAACCTAATCACAAAAAAAAATATATACACTCTAATAATTCTCTTGGTAAGTTATGTTTGAAGAAATGCTCAATTGCAAGCTGCAGCAAGCTTTAAACAAGAAAGCGAATTTTTCCCAATCCATCATAAAACCACTATTTTTTCAAGTAGGACATTTCCAGTGGTTACCTCCGAACAAAGGAAGTGCAGGACTGATGTCTACTTCACCCACTGTATGTGAAGACCGTAAAACAAAGTCCTGCGTTTACTCCACTGAGTTTTTGACATTCAAACGAAATAAAATGGCAAGGAGGGACACAGGCTCTCTCCAAAGCAGCAAAAGACAAGGACCTACAAGGGGAATTCTGACTTCTGATGTGAAGCATCACAAGGTGGTTCATCCTGTCTCTGCTGGTGTGGATTGTGCATGGCCCCAAACCTACTTGGGATGATCCCAGGACAGGACACAGCAAAAATCCCAAAACCTGAACTTAGTCACCTAATGACTCTATACCATTATCAGACAGCAAGTAAGAATTTTTAAGAATAATTTTGGAGGTCTAAATATTATTACTTGCTCGGCTATAAATAATTCTCTCAGTGTGGCAAAAGATAATAAAATATTTAAAGATAAACATTTATATTAACATTCAGTAAAACAGCAGTAACAGCAAAACAGATAAAGCATAGTCCCAGCTGATTCATCTCATGTTGAGGGTAAAGGTTTTCCATTACATTTCTTTTTATCTCATTCTTTCCAAAACAAAAACCAACCAAATCTTCCCAACCTCAATATTTGCCCTCCCATGTTTAACAACAAAGATAAAGAATCTCTATAACATCATTTGAAAACCAACTACTGAGAAGTTTTCCAACACACATTCTAATAATAAAAAGGAAAAGGTCTGCTTAGTAACGCAAACAACATTTGTTTTGGTTTCATGCTTTGTAGCAAGAATGAAATACCAACCTTCCCATTCTAGAGCTGCACTGTAAATTAAACACAAAAAGTGAAACAGATGTCTGACCACAACAGAATTAGACTTGGTAGCTTTACATGTGCAGAAAAATGGCTTCTAAAGCACCTTTCTAAAGAACTCAAATTTTAACTGTAAATGTACTTTTTTGAAGCATGCATAGCCACACACTCTTCACTGCACCCTAACGGATACTTACCAAAAAAAAAAAAAAGCTGAAATTAATTTTTATACAAATTTGCTTACAAACTATATATTGGCAATAATATTTTATTTAAATAAAATTGTCTACATCAGGTAACAGATGTTACTGCTTCCAGATTCAGTTTCACCTTTGAGAAGGACAGGCATTGCAAAGTTAGTGTGAATGATTACATGCTTGGGAGTTTGCTGCATTTACAGCATATACTGTTTTATTCTACTGACAGAACACTTTGCATTTTGATTTTTCCCAGATCCTTTTGCTTAAACTAGAAATCTGCTTTGAGTAAGCTTCTATGATTTCCTCCTTGTGGCAGCTCTATTAAAACACCTCATTAGAAGCTATGAATTATTATAGAGACAGTGTGATTATCTTTTTGAGCATCTTAACAATTATAAAAAAAAACAAATATTTGCCTTTGTTTTGACTCAAAATAGTAAAATTTTGTAGGTCTAGATCCAGATGTTTTTCCAGCTCTTAAAAGAAAAAAGCTTTAGAATTAGCTTATTTCCACTGGGTATTTCTGAGGACTGATGAAACATTTTAAGTGTACATCAAGTTACACCTGAAAAAAAAAATTGTATCTTTTAAAGTTCCTTTTGAATAAGGCATGAGTCATCTCCACCCCACAATGCACTCTATTAAAAATACCCATCCATTTGACTTACTGTAAGTAACGTGCTCTTTTAAACTGTGTAGGAAAGGATTTTACTGTTCATGCACAAGATTTATGAATCACTGTACTGTACGCTGAAAAAAAACCTCTTTGGATTAGGAGGAACAAAAAAGCACTTGCAACTTTGTGTGGGCATGTTTGTTTTCTCTAAGTTTTGGCTGAAGTCTTTCTTCTTCCACAAAACGTTCTCCAAAGGTCAGAGCCAGAGCAAAAATGATTGTGTAGAGGCAGTCTTGATTTGCACATGGAAATTCTGCATTTGGGTACACCAACACTTCAAGTCAACCTGCCATTTATGTTACAGGATCTATTTTGAAAAGGTAGAACTTCTGAGTAGCTGTAGCCCATCAGTCTCTTCCTGTATTTTAGCTCTCAACTACTAATTCAATTTATTCCAGATGCTCTGCTTAAATATGTTTGATTCTGCATCTGGGATTAAGTGACTTAAACCTCAGTCCTATGCTAAGAAATCCAAACTGGAATTTTCAATGGTTATGTGCAGACAAGGAAGAAAGGCATAGAAGGATTCATTAACAAAATTTGATCTTTTCAAAAGATACATACATAATAGATGAAAACCAAATTGGAATAACTCATTCCCTCAAGATCTGGCTAATGCAAGATGACATGGATATTATTAACTGTTACATGCAACAACACACAAATATTGCAATCCTTTCAGTACAACTCCTATTTGGATTATGTATTGAAGGTTACTACAGCAATCATTTTAACTTAAGGAGAGAGAATGCACAAGGAAATAACCAGCTGTACATTACAGCATGGTTCCTGCAATGAACAGTCTCGTCAGCTATCTGTACAGAAAAACACACTTAATTCTAAGTTAAATACTTTGATAAAGATGGATTGCAGGCTTGTATTGAATAAATAATCTTAAAAATTACAACTTGCAAATCAATTTGTCTGAACCTATATTCCTTACTCTGGAAATGCAATGTACCTCTAATGCACAAAAGCATTGCAGAAATCTGAAAATGCCGCAAATAAGAAGAATAACCATTCCACATAAAACCAGGGCCTGCAAGTATGCCAAATTAGTGACTCCTCCCTAACAATGCTGGATTTTTGCAGGATATCATGTAACTAAATGCAAGTTCTAGAGGCAGAAGCTTTGTGAAGAGACTGACAGCAGAATATTAAAAGGTAGTTTACTATCTGGGCACTAGGCCAAGAAGTTGCATATTCCCAGCCCTGGACAGCAGGGAGAGCAGAGCTCCCACTCCAGAGTAATAGGATTACAGCTCAGAGATAACACATAGCCTTTCATCTTCTGATGACCAATATGAAGTTTCAGCCTTGCTTGTGAGGAGCTGTTTCAGTTTCCCATCACCAGCAAACGCTTCCTTCCCAACTGTGCATCTCCTCTGCAATGCAGCTTTAAAAATTAAACAATATTTACAACTGAAAAAAGTTAACTACATCCTTCACCTCTTGTTCAGCCAGCCAGGAACAAAGCTGAGGTATGAGATAGAAAATTGTTCATCACCTTTCCTCCTGATGCCTGATCTCTTGTGATATGTTACATAACCTCACTGCATGTTTTGCAGGCAGCAAAACAAATCAATTAAGCAGCTTTTCCTTTCTGACTCATTCTTCTCAGCAAAACCATATAGTCATAATCATGGATCATCAAAGTTGTCAAAAGGGGAAAAATACACACATCCCTATTCAGCAAAAGATGTTTTTGCCACATAAAAAGCTCCACTTTTGTGTAAAATTGGGATTGTCAGATCTAGCTCCATATAAATTTTCTGACAGTGGCTGGGTAATCAGTACTGAAAAGCTGGCCTTGTACAACACAAAGGCAGGAGTTGTTTCTTTGAGCTACTGCAAAGCGGAGATTTCAGTCTTTTTTAGAACATATGAATTAAGGAAAAAAAAATGCTCTCATTTTAAACTTTAGCAGCTCTATCAAACAAAAATATAAGAAGTAGTGGGGCCTACTGAAATAACTACAGTGGACTTTTGTCTAAGTTTCTATACCAGTTTCCTATACCAGTATTTAACACTGGCCTGTTACATTTTGAAATTAAAAAAATCCTGCATGATTGACAGGTATCAAGTGCTCAAACTTCTTTTCAAAAACATGTAAAGGTGTTCTTTATCAGTGAATTTTAGAAAAGAAGTCTACCTAAGTCAGATAAAAGGAAGCATTAATTCTAACACTAAATGTTTAAAAAAAAAAGTAATTAAAAGTATCAGTTTGAATTTAAGAGCATATAGCTACTCTTGCAATATTAAACCACAATTTTAACAATAAATAACAAATTCAG